CACACACACACACACACACACACACATTCCCTCTCTGACCTGCAGGAAAGTGGCAGAATCCTTCTGGTACAGCTTCACAAGCTGCCTGTTGGCAATGGTGTCAATCACTCCCATAGCTGTACCGGCAATTGCCATGGCAACAGACAACAGTGCCACATGGTAACACAGTGGTATGACAGCAAACACGAGTGAGATGACGAAAGTGCAGAAGAGGAGTGCTGACAGTGAGCACCGGAGTCTAGAGAGGACAAAAAGAGTACGACACCCACAGGATTAAGGACTGTACACAAACAATGACCTTCAGACATAATACAGTCAGTGATTCATTCAGAAACAGGAGTTTTATTCTACTAATAACAGCAGCATACTCTTACCAAACCTGGACAGTAAGAGAGTGAACAGTCTCCTTTTATTTGAGTAAAGTCACCTTGATGGTTTACTGCTCTGCTAACTTTTATTTACTCAGTGGCTTTATCTAAGGCTTGCAGCAGCAGAACGCCTCTGTATTATCTGCACCTGTAATTTTCAGTATTTCCTGCCAACTTTCCACTCTCTGTTCAACCTTGTTCCAGGTGGAAATTTGACCAAAGCTAGTGACTCAGAGGCAAAGGAATATCAAGCAGAGAGGCCACCACTGACCACCACTGTGTAAAAGTTAATAGATAGACCATAATGAACCCTCGCTGGCTCAATAAAACTTTACACTGTATTTGAAACCGGTTCACAAGAGGACAACAGCAGGTCAGAGATTTCGCTATAAACTATAAACTCTTTTAAGCAGAGTTAGATGTCAATCAAGGTGAAAAAAAGTTGTTTCATTCTTGCTTGACGTATGATTCCAGCTCGACAACTTGGGGTCTTCATGAGGGGTAGGAGAGAAATTGATACAGCATAGTATTGCGATATTTTGTTTGGTGATATATCGTATCGTCTCATTTACCAAGTATCGGTTTTTCAAATTAATTGCTTATATGAAGTCAAATCTATGATATTGGAAAAATAAAATCAATTGTTTGTCCCGTGAGGATGACAGAGGTGACATCGTAGAGGAGGAGAAAGTTAGTGCAACAAATATTTATATATATATATATAAATATATATATATATATATATATATATATATATATATATAAGAGGTTTGCAAGAAGTGCTATATGAAAATAAAACACTGTGTAAATAAGACAAACATAAAGGAAAGCCAAGCGCTAAATTAGCTTAACAGTTGAAAAAATTGTGTACATCGCAATATATTATAAGACAATACTCACTGTATTTCAAAATGTTAAAAACTGTAATAATATCATATCATGGCCCAAGTATCGCAATAATATCATATCATGCCCCAAGTATCGCAATAATATCGTATCGTGGCCCAAGTATCATGAGAATATCATATCATGGCCCAAGTATCGCAATAATATCATATCATGGCCCAAGTATCGCAATAATATCATATCATGGCCCAAGTATCGCAATAATATTGTATCGTGGCCCAAGTATCATGAGAATATCGTATCATGTGGCCCAAGTATCATGAAAATATCGTATTGTGGCCCAAGTATCGCAATAATATCGTATCGTGGCCCAATATCGTGAGAATATCGTATCATGGCACAAGTATCGCAATAATATCATATTTGGCCCAAGTATTGTAATAATATCGTATCGTGGCCCAAGTATCGCAATAATATCGTATCATGGGGCCAGTAGTGATTCCCACTCCTAGTCTTCATACCTCTTTAGATGGGTCAATGTTTATTTGTCAGACCACAGGACAGTTTTCCACAGTTTCTCTCTTTGTATGGACTAGTGTTGACTGGCTTTGTAGTTGCGATGATGAGGATTTTGGATGTAAATTTGGGCCCACGCAGTGATTTCCAATTCAGAGTCCCATCTGTTTTTAAAGCAGTGAAGGTCTGAAGATCACAACCTTACAGGAAAGTTTTTAAGCCTTGCATTTTTGTACTGAGATTCCTAGAGAGTCTCTGAATCTTTTCATGGTATTATAGATCGTGGCAACATTATGGTTCAACTATCTGCTCACACAGTCTCTCACAGACTTCCATATTTGCCTCTTGAAGGCCCAGCCTCTCTTTTGTGACTACTCACTCGTCACTGACTTACTGCAAATTATTCTCATTGTTAGGATGTGCCTTCAGATGTTTTTATTTTGCATTACATAACTCTTTCAGAGTTTTGTTGTTCCTGTCATGACGTTTTTCAAATATTTTGCTGCCAACAAATTTCAAATGGGCCAACCCTTTTTTTGTTTTTTGTTTTTACAAAATGATAAAACATTCAGATGTTTTCCTTGCACTATTTTCAATAAAACAATGGGTTTAAATGATCTTAAACTTTTTTTTTTTTTGACAAAAGAATCCCAATTCTTTGGAGTTCAGGTCGTAAATGTTCTCTGTGCAGATAAATCATATATGACAGTACAAATCCTGCAGGAAAATATACTTTTGGTGCGCTGTAAATTGCTCCACACACTGACTTCACAGCTGGCACTGTTTGCAGAGCATCATATCCGAGCACAGTCATTCAGCTGCCCGGATATAATAGTCAGCTATAAAAAGGTGCACAAAATTACACAATAAAGTAATCCGCTAAGTCCTTTGCATGATCGTAAACCTGGCCACAAATCAAAAGAAAAAAAGTCTATTTGTTTTCAGCTCAAAACTTTATGTTATTAATCTCAAAATCTTCAGAGCCTGATTCAGAGTGCTACATTTTTCACTATCAAATAGGGTTCACAAGTGTTACATACATTCATAATGTCAATCCACCTGACTCTGGCCATTACCTGGACTTTCATCATGCTTCATCGGTCTGTTGGTGTTTTCTCTCGTTGGCTATTATGTCATCAGGTTTGGAATCAGTCAGATTTCAGAGGGGATCAACACAAGACTGCAGACGCTCAGAATTATGGTATGGTATGGTATGGTATGGTATGGTATGGTATGGTATGGTGTGGTCTTTATTGTCATTGCAACTGTGCACAACGAAATTGCATTTACAGATGGGGAAAGTACAGATTGTAACTCTGACTTTCTCACAATCATTCAATTAGCCACAGACATCTACTCCTCACCCTCTAAAGTTTAAATCAATGCAACTATAAGGGTTCTCTAAACTGTGACATGGTGCACAAATCACATGTTTGTAAAATGTCATGGCTCATTTCTAGGCTCCTGTATTCTACATAAAGGAGTGCCCTCGGGCAAGACACTGAACCCCAAATGACTCCCTTAGGAACGAGTGTAGGTGGTTCAAAATACTTTAGATCCTGAAGGACAGGTTCTCATCTGGAGTGACAGCTTAATTAGCCTGACTGAAAGCTTGAGTAATGCTAAAGGTGAAACTGTTTCAGTAGTTTCAGGACAAGGAAGTTGTATCAGAGCAATCCACTCATCAGCCTATAGATGACGGGCAAGTTTTGTTTGTCATCTGTAAATAACTTCAATGGCAAAATCCTGATGAAGTAAATTCATGTATTTGTACTTAGTTAAAATAATGTGGCAGTGTCCACTGTGTATCATACATTGAAGACATCTGTTATAACCATTTCACACTGATCAAATGCACACCCAAAGCCAGATACAGGGACTGCTCCATATGCCGATCAGCAAGCGCCAGTCATTTGGATATTCCAGATTTGACTGTCAAATGTAGGATACAGTCGAACTGTGTGTGAACTCCTCAACACTGACACACTGACAAGTCTTTTACTCTTTCAGGCTGGGCTGTAGCCAGGATCTGAGGGATGCAAGACTTTAGCGCCTGAATTCCCACCAACTTTTAGCTCCCCTAAAACTGAACAGGAGCAACTTTTGTATTTAAAAAAAAATCTGCTGTCCTTACATACCTGCCTACTGAGCAATAGACGGCTATGAGACGTCTAGTTATTTTTTAGACCTAATTTCAACCATCTAGATTCTGTATATCTGTAGACGGAATTTAAACGTTGCACTTTAACCCGCTATTCGATAAGTATTTATTTCAAAAAGCAACTGTGAGTTGCATAACTGATCTCCAAGTATTAAACCAAAATAATTATGATAGCCGTTGAGCAAAATACTGGTAGACCTCTGTTAGCTGGCTAGTCTATTCCTGGTCTAAATTTAATAATAATAATAATAATAATAATAATAATAATAATAATAATAATAATAATAATTCATTTTATTTGGACAGCGCTTTTAAAAACAAAAATTTAGACGTCTGAAAACTTTCATTTTTAGACCTGTGGTAGCCTGATTTTAGACAGTCGTCTAGACTACATTTATACGTCTATTAGACATCCTTTAGACCAAAAAATGCTCAGTGTGTGTATGTTACGTTCTCCAAACTTTGCCTCTGAGTGGAATATCTTAATTTTGTCAGATATTTCTGCCTCATCTGGTATGAGGTAATATAATTTGTCTTATTATCTAATGCCTGAAAACACTCTAATTTCAATCTTCAGGTTTAACACGAGAAGATACTATTTCCTTTACTTGGAGATGGGATGTTTATTAAAAAATTGTTAATGTACTCTGTGTTTTTATGACTTTACTTCCAACTGCATATTGTTTGTTTTCCCATACACCCCACCACTTGTCTGAAATGTTCTTTTTTTTTACTTTATAATTTAGTTTAGTCTCATACCATGTTAACTTTATGTTTTAAGATGTGTTTGAGTGCTAACATGGGTTTCACCACAAACCAGGGCTGTACAACCACAATCAAATACATGGAGTGTTCAGAGGGGGCTCCCAAAAGACTAAACTAGTCTCATTCTGAATATAAACTAATAGTAATCCATGAATGTAGATATATTATTGTGAGCGAGTAGCCGGTCAATAGATCATTTTCCACCCCAGTCCGATCAGCGCCCCTCCCCACACTCACGTCTTCTTGAAGAGTCCCCCCAGACTGCTGCCCACCAGCAGGAAGAGCTGCTGGGAGAAGAAGACCCAGGTTATCTCCTGCAGAGTAGACTTGGTCTGACACCTCAGGTCCAGGATGGTGGGCCCGAGGAAAGCGATGCACAGGCCGAAACTAAAGAAGACACTCCAGTAGGTTAGAGTGTGCTGCCAGTGGCGCTTGAACAACGTCCAGATCCGCTCGTCCAGGAACATCATGTTGGTCTAATCCTGAAAGCTGCGGAAACTGAGCGGTTCCCGGCTGCTCAGTGAGCTCTGTCAAACATATCCACACATGTTGCCAAAGGACAAAAGTATACACAACTTCAAGAAACACCCAGGCTGGGCACGGTCCGCTGAGTGCCACTTTGTGGACGGACATGATCCTGATTGGCTGATGTCCCCTAAGACCGCCCACTGACAGACTGGATGGGTCATATCCTATTAGAAGATACAGCAAAGAGGCAGAAACACAGTTCTAGTCTGCTCAAGTATTACAGTCAGGGGCGTGTCTAGACTTTCTTGACTGGGGCGGCCAAACACAAACAATTTAACAGTGTTTACTCTCTCTCTCTCTCTCTCTCTCTCTCGCTCTCTCTCTGTCTCTGTTAGAGGTGTAAGAGATATTTTGGTAAAGTTTCTCAAAATTGTACACAGTAAATAAAGTTTGAAGACTGGAGAATCACAGTTTTTTGACCATTTGATTTTGCCTTTGCCTTTTTTTGCTTTTGGTTTCTTCAACAAGTATATGAAAAATAAACAAAGAAAACATGACTTGGATGAACTATTTCATTTACGCTGGAAGACAAGAAGAAACGGAAGATGCCTCAACTGTAAATCTGGCTATAGTAGGGGAGACCGGGGCTAGTTGTCACATAGGTTAGTTGTCACATTGCTATAATCTTTGCCACCAGAGGGCGCAACTAAAAAGTGGAATACTAGTTTTCTTCCTTTACATGGTCAAGGGTCATGTCTTGTCTGAGGAGAGAAGAGCACATTATGAGCTGAGATGAACACTAATGAATCATTTTGCAAAACCCAGAGTAAAAAAAAAAAAACTTGATTTATTTTGAAATAAGCTTCTTCCAGATAAAAATCCCAGCAGTGATACATTTGGACTTGTTAAAGGAGAGATTAAGGCATCCTATCATACCTCAGTCCTTTTTTTGTTTTAAGTTAACTCTAAACTAGATCTAGAATAAGCAAACATGGTAGTTTGGAGCAACATGTCTCAGTCATTTTGGGGTTAGTTGTCACATGTTTAAAAGGGATTAAAATTAACATCGAGGGTCTGCTTATCAGCAGTTGTCATATAGAAATTTTGACTTTATTTTCTTTTATTTTCAAAGCATTGATAAAATGTCAGAACAGTTTATTTCTATATGATCTTTTTTTTTTGTGATTTTCACATCTACTCTGATCTTTGATTTTTGTGTGCAGATAATGGAGTCTTATCAAAATGATGCAATAATAATCAAAGCAAGTTAAATGATTTCTAGCAGCCTGAAGTGCTCCCTTGCTCACCCCCTGCTTGGGGAATTTTCAGAAGTGACAGGAGACTCATTTTAAGTTCACAAAAACAAAATGATTTTTATATTCAGGTTAATTCAAACATACTCAAAAATATCCCATTTTATTTTTACACACTCACTTTTCCTTAATTCTGAAAAATACTTCACACTGCACAAATATTTCTTATTTATTTATTTTTACAACAATATGTGAATACAACCCATATTTAAAAAAACAAAACTCACCCATACCTCTCTCTACTAACTATTACATAACTCTGGACTGTGAAGCTGCTCTTCTCTGCCCTCTATTATGAGCTGTGCATTAAAATAAGAACAAATAGCACCATCTTCTGTTCATCTACTATTAAACCTCTTACTTTTAACTTATAACAAACTAACAAATACATTAACAAAAAGAAGTTGATCTGGAATCAATCAATCTTGACTCGTAGCGACATTTTATTTTGGGACAGAAAGATCATTTTAGTAACTCGTTTACTGTATTAAATTAAGAACAAGCCTTACTTCATAAGATCAGACTCATTATTTTCCTATATTGATCCATTATGAGAAAAAGGCATTTAGAGAGTTACAGTGGAGAGGAAGAACTTGCTTTAACAGGCAGAAACCTTGAGCAGGACCAGATTCTATATAGGGGGACTAAAAGTGTCACTGCAGATAAACATTTAGAAGTTTCAACTTTATAGTATTTTATGTACTTTATGGCTGCTATTACTGGTTATTACTTTACTGACCAGTCTGTTATATGTGAGTTCAAGTACGCATGGAATTAATAGTGCTCCTGCGTCACTCTTGGACCTGTGACAAAAGCAGCTGAGTAACAAACCAGCAACACACGTGTCGTTGTCCCATAAATTCAATATTTTATTTATTCATTAATCAATCAATTATTCAATCAATTTGATGCCTGTTGGCAGTCGCAGTACATTCAATTTCTCATTTTTATGACAGTGTAGACAAATCACACAAAATATCACATTTCATACAAAATCTAAACTCATCTGATAGAAAACATTGAGACATCATCTGCAGTCTTTTTTTAATTTATTTTAAATACAGTGCTCTATCTTATTATGGCATAAAACTCACTGAGAAAAATTGAGACATCTGTTAAAATACATATATATATATATTATTTCTTTTTCATTACAGTATTTAAAATAGCTTAATTTACCACAACTAGAACACACACAGTAATACTTGTACCACTGAAGGAAAGAGGGGGAGGGGGACGTCCACGTTTATACATCCCTCTGCAGTCTAGGCAGGTCTAAACTATGTGTCTCTCCCTGTTACCTTCATCATGAATCCAGAACAACACCATGCTGGATGGCCCCACCGTTATTCTCTCAGGAACTTTGTTTACCTTAGGAGGTAGAAAAACTTAAAGCAGCCAAATTTCATTCACTTAGAGACAAGCAAACCTCCCACTGACTAAGTCATGTATCACCTGGTTTTAGGAGACCAGTACTTCACTCAGCTTCACAACTCTGTCAATAACAGTTAGTTTCTCTACCTCTGTCGTCCCTGAACAGTCTCAATGGGTTTCCTTTGAACTAAAGATCAGTCCGTTTCTGTCAGTCCAATCATCTTGATCAGGGTTCCCTGCTGTCTGATGATAAAACACACTCTTATAAACTCATGATTAAAACAATCTGAAAGTTGTTGATATGAATGTCCTGCTGTAGACTTTTAGTGAGCTCAAACGACTCTATGCACCAATCCACTACTTCCTGAAATAAAGGCAGCTCCTTTATTTTCTGCCTACATTATTTAACAAACGGATTAATCCAGGTGTGTCTGACTCGTCACAATGATCAGTCGCACCTGGATTAATCAGTTTGTCCAGTAATGTAAGACAGTAAATAAAGGAGCAGCCTTAAGTTCAGGATGTAGTGGAGCTGTGCATGGAGCTCAAAAGTGAGCAGACTAAAAAAACCTTGTGGACACGGTCGCGGTCGCTCTTTGTAATGAGCAGCTCGACACCGGCAAGAAATGTATAGTTGAGGGCATGAATTCCAGTGATAGGAAGTAGCTTTTGTACAGATAAAGAGAATTAATAAAGGTTTTGTCCTAGCCTGGGTCATCTCATGTATTTGATCATGGTACCTGTTTTCACCTTAGTTTTTTTCGTTGAGTTTAGTGTGAAACAGTGATTTCCCAAGCTGGGGGGCCCATGATAGAGAAACCAAGGCTTGATTGGAAACCATGCAGACAATTTGGCCCCACTAGCAAAGCATGGTGCCCACAGATTAAAAATGTGGAAACTGCATCAGACACTTTCAACAGACAAGAGAAACTTTGTCATGCAGCTTAAAATAGAAAACAACAGACAATTTGTTCAGTTCTCTTCTAAATCTGAATCTAAATGTTGCTTCCATCTTCATGACCGTGGTAGTAGATTTCCCAGGTCTGGACTTGTATTTACTTTCTAACCCTGAAGTGGGCAGTGAAGAGCTACTGTGGAGGAGTACACGAAGAAAAGATGGCTCTGGGTTCAAACTTTACAGTGGCTTTATGACGCACTTTATCTCGCTGTTTTTTAATTATAACTGGCTTGATTGTTTGGTTTGTGGTGTAATGTAGCTGAATTATGAGGACAGTTCAAGGACAAACTGCATGAAACCCTGATCACGGCTGATTCAAACTTTTTAAGTGTCATCGACGAGATTAAATGTGACATCCTCACTCGCTAAATGCTGATCTTAAAGCGCGGCAGGGTGGAAGAATGACGTCTGCAGGAAGCTCTCTCATATTGCTCTATTAGTTTATTACACAACCTAGATCGGATCTCACCAGTCATTGTTTGGCTTCAACCCTTTGTCATTGGTTTACATGTGGATTGCTCTGCAGCACTGGGCAAACAAGGAAGAGATTTAGAAGGAGAGCGTAACTTAGCAACAAGCTTGTGTATCTGCAGATAACTTCATCTTTCAGATCATGGACGAGCTCTTGGGTCGGTCCCGGAAACTTTTTTCGAGTTGAACTCCTGCAGATATGTACAATTTGTAAGTAAGTAGTATGCTATTTCATACACTGCCCAATGTGCATTTAAGCTGGGCTAAATCTACGAGAAAGTGAGTTTAAGTCCTACTGAGAGTAAATGCTACTTATTGAACATACCTTCCTGTTTGAGTTGAAGAGGATTTGGATTGATTGGGGTTATATTCAGAGTCATACGGGGTAAGAACCAGAGGGAAGGGAGCAGGCTTCAGAGGACACTTCTGGTTTGTGCAAATAGGAGACTAAGAAAAACACGTACTCAGAGTTATTACACACAAAGCAAATGCCTCCTAACACACTGGCTACACTAGATCACATATAGATTCTTGACAAGCCAAAATATCATGCACAGTTTACTAAGGCAACTTCAAAAACTGGAGTGAAAGTCAGCTGTGAACACTGTATGGATCTAACCCCACACTAAGCTGAGACACTGTGGCAAGGCAAGTCTGTGGACGTGAGTCTGCTCTGATCGGCTCAGTGTTTGTTTCGTAAGTAGAGGTACTGTAAATGAATGATGCTACCATTTCACCAGCAGAACTGCTTCTTAATAAAAAAAAGAAAATTCAAGACTATCAGGACGCTTGTGACGGAGACGTGACCATTATATCACTCATGATCACCTGTTACACCCATTTGCGAGATGACATGTCCAGGTAGCTAAAGTCATTAGCTCACACTGTGTACAGGCTAATGTGTAGCATGAAGGGACATTTTAGTGTAGCTTTGAATTTAGATGATAGTTCATGTTTGAACACTGGAGTGAAGCACCAGTTGATCTATTTTGAAATGTCTTTTGACATCGTGGATCATTTCTTTTCTGATAGTATTTTTAAAGCAGGGCTGGGCTCTCCTTCAATCTTAAAGGTACAGTGTACAGAAATTGTAATAATAAGCCATAGCTATTGGTGGGTTTTGAAAACAAGAAGCTCCTCGATGCATGACAAGTCTGATCCTCCAATGGACAGATTTTTGCAGTCAAAAATGTCGGTCAGTTAGAACAATCACTGTATTCTTCCAACTTAAGCACCTTGCACCCACAAGGTCTATGCAGTAAAAACATGATAAATACTGCAAGCTGTACCTTAAAGTCCCACTCCGATCATTTTTTTGTTTGTTTTTACTATTTAAAGTGCTCCAAATGGTCTTTAAATTGTGATTATAAAGTTTTTAGCCGAAATCACATTACCCGTGTCATTTTCACTGGCTCTGTTCTGCAGAGCTCCAGTAGCTCATTACCAATTCGCCTCTGAGTCGTGAGTGGAGACAGCGCTGCTCTGCACACTTCTCTTCATGCTAGCTTGTAGCCTAGCATTGCCAGTATAGTAGCAGTAGCAGGTAACATAGGAGCTATTCAGCTCTCGGACACTAATGTCTTTAGGGACGTGATGAAAGTTAATATCATAATTAGCTTTCTTACGAGCATTGCAATCTACTAACTCACACGCTTGTTCCGCAATGGTCCTCTCAATTTTTCTGAGTGTGGGATTTGCTACGTAGGAAATCTCACTGTGTCTGAACCTGCTGTTTGGGTCTGTGAGAGATTCACAGCGGTTTGAAAGCAGAAATACTCAGAAATGCAGTTTGGCTCTTAGTTTTCTCATGATTTGTCCTGTAGCATCAGAAAAATGACATGAACATGTAGACAACAAGAAAAACATGATTTCCATCGGAGTGGGTCTTTAAAGCACTTTCAGATGAATCATATTTGAATTTAAAAACTTCACGGCCAGTTTAATTTGACATAAATATTTGTCCTCCATTTCCGAGGAGACTTCAAATCAGAATGTAAACTTTTAGACACTTACAAATAGAAATACTTAGAAATACACATTTTTTATTTTGATCCCTTCATATGTGCACCTGCAACTTTCTACAAGATGTGGTCGCTACCTCGGACGGACAGTCTCCAGGTATTCTCTGAACAGAAATGACAAAAGCTTGTGTTTAAGAGAAAGATGATCCTCCTTTTTTCCTCAGAGGGTCTTTTTCTTGGGTTTTTAAATCGTATTTGTGTTTCAGCAGATTATTCTTATACCTCTAATATGAGCAGCTACGTACTGGCAGCATGTTCAGTGTTGCTGATTGTGCAAATGTGTGCAAATTTAGGCAACACTTTAAATTAAAGTCCTTATAATAAGTTCTATCCTTTGATAAAGGCATCGTAAACATGCTTTTTGTGAGATTATTAATCTCAGTTCTAAATAAGATAATTTATACAGCTTCATCCAACCTTTTTTCAGTTGGTAGTCTGCTTAAGGTTGATTATTAAGAATTCGCATTTTATCACTGTTTATTCACTTTGTTTCCTTTGGTTCATCCATCAGATATTTCCACTATATTTTTAATTAATATGTTACTTTTCATAATGCAACAAAAATGCTCCAAGAGGTGAGTTACTCTCTGATGTTTCATAGCCTAGCACTTAACCTGTTTAAGATGTAGTTATTAACTCCTAGACATGAATGTATAAGCACATAAAAGTGCTTGAATACCGTTTTACTGACAGTTATTAGAAGGACTGTATAATGTAAAGTGTTGGTCAGATATGTACCGTTGTGTATGAGAGGATGTGAGGAGAGTGTTTCTCAGCTCAGTCAGTTCAAGTACAGTACAGGTTTATTTCCACAAACTCAGTACGTCTCCACGCTCAGCTGCCTTGGAAATGAGTGACTGCACATGAGTTTGTGTGTTCATGCAGGTGTGTGCACATATTTGAGCATGCTTCTGAATGTGCTGAGCTGTGTTGGCCTCTGTTCAGCGGTCTGACAGGCAGCTCCTCTTCCCTCCATGTCTCTGTGAACTCTAGAAGATGCTTTGTCTTCGGTTCTTTCCTCCTGAGAAGAGAAGAGAGGAAATTAGGTTGAATTCTTGTTTTTAATTACTGAGTGAACAATCTGATGATAATTGGAAACCCTTCAGATTTGAGAGTCAGTGTCATGAGTTGCTTTTTGAATCTTCCTTGATTTATTTCTTTATCCACAGTTATGGTTCACACAAAGATGGCTATCCTGAGAGAAGAGAGTGTGATTGTTGATTTAAAATCACTGATTAAGCAGGCGGAGATCTACTTACACACAAAAGATAGACTCCTGCTCTGTCTGTATGGGAAGTAGAATCTTTGCAAACTGTTCTTCACAAAGGCTTTTAAAACGCCTCCTTTTCATTTTCTTTACCAGCATTTTAACATCAGTCGCTGGCCTGATATTTCAATATAAGGCCAACATTTAAATCCACGTCAGACTGAACTGACCTCATGCATGACGGTCCCTTAAATCCACATCAGGCTTAACTGACCTCATGGATGACGGTCCCTTAAATCCACATCAGGCTTAACTGACCTCATGCATGACGGTCCCTAAATCCATATCAGTCTAAACTGACCTCATGCATGACGGTCCCTTAAATCTACATCAAACTAAACCGACCTTATGGATGACGGTCCCTTAAATCCATGTCAGACTGAACTTACCTCATGGATGACGGTCCCTTAAATCTACATCAGACATGACGGTCCCTTAAAACCATGTCAGACTGACTTGACCTCATGCATGACGGTCCCTTAAATCCATGTCAGACTGATTTGACCTCATGCATGACAGTCCCTTAAATCTACATCAGACTGAACTGACCTCATGACGGTTCCTTAACAAAGTTTTGTAAATGTTGCCAAATAACTGAATTTACACTCAGCAACAGAATCATAGGGTTCTGTACCTGAGCTCCTAACACAACCTTTAATGTAAACCTGGAGCTTCTCTGGTTACGTTTACCAGGGTCAAATACACATGCATGAAGTTCTCAATGTCCTGAATATCTCTTGTGAGGATTCAACCCCCCCATCTCTGGAACAAAGTTGAATGCTTCTACAGCGATCAAAGTGGAGGGGAAAATAAATGGTAATTGGCCATAAAAAACAAATTTCAATTTACAAAGTTTTAGTTCTTTATCAAGTTTTTTCAATTTACATGAAACTGATCAATTCTCAATATACTAAACTATTCATATCAGGCAATAAATGTCCTCATTAATCATTTAGAAGTTCCTACTGTGTATAGGGCACTGAAGGAGACATTATCACTCCTAATATTAGACCATTGTAATATTTCCAGCTTTTTTGTAAAGCTCAGTAAGTTTCTGGATTTAATGTCTGAAATGGTCCATATGCCACACAAGACTAAGAACAATAAGCATCACAGAAAAAGGTCAAAGAAGCCACGACTCATCTTTATGTGAAAGTACTTTATCCTGCAGCCATTAATAGTTTACTTTGGGGAAAGTGTTGTGGAGTAGGGTCCCTAAGTTTTCGAAAAAAAGAGTCTATAGTGAGACTTAATAAGTATATGAGGCGCTTATTAGAGTATATAAATGAACAACAGTAATCTGTGTTTAATGAGTAGACAGCATTTTGTTTATTTTCATTTTCCTCCCCGTTCCTCTGAGACAGTCTGTGGTTTATTTATTTGAGAGCAAACAGAATCAGCTCCTGGCTGTTTGCAGAGCTTAGTTAATTAGATCTGCTTTCACTTTTTAAATTGTGTGGTCAAGAGCCAAACAAAGCTACAATTACCGCTGCAGATTTGGACAGTTAGGGAAACTTAAAGCATCAGAGGATTTAATTTAAAGTTATTAGATACACTTCTACATGTTTCCAATTTGCTTTTACGCCGGGTTTTATTTACAACAGTATTATGACTATGAGAGTATAAAGACACAGCTGCTCACTCCATAAGGAATTCAATGACTGCCAACAACAGCTGACAAAGCCTCTAATGAAGACATCACACCATGTTGTGAGATTGTGTTGCAGCAAACTTACTCAGAGGGTGAAACACTGAGCTGCGGTGGCCGGGGTCCTTCTGAAGCTGCACCTCTCTGAGAGAAAACACTGAAGCAGCTAAGAGAAAACAAAGAGAGAGAGGGTAGGGTCTTAATGTTTTTCTTAGAACCCCTCATTATGCATATCTGACATCTTGACACTTCTTATTAACAAACTCAGCTAGCCGTGTAACATTCTTATTGGTCAAAACCCCACAGCTATGATAATTAATGCTTAATTTAGTGACTCTTGGGACAACCAGATCTCAAATATCATATCAAATCAGTCCATGGCAAGGAATCTGGGAGATCCACTGTGGAAAAAAAACAACCTTTTTTGATGTAATGATTAAGGGACATAATTTTACAACAAAGTTGAAGACTTATTTGTCATATATTTTAAAATACAAAAGTTTTCACTTCAATTTTGCTGTTAATTTAATCATAAATAACCCTATTTAAGCAAAAACATCATTCAAATTTTACTGGGATTATTTGATGAACTGTTTAATAAATCATCACAATTTATGGTCTTTTACTGTTGGAGTTAAACAGTTTTTTACTGTTAAATCTACATATATTTTTTACCAACTTTATTATATTACCTCTTCCTGCAGCCAAAATAATGCTTTTCCAATGGAGTATTGTCAACATACTCTTTATATATTTGGATAGCACTCAGTTTTGATTGGTGGTCAACAGCTGACCAGTCACCAGCAGAATAAGGAAGAAAACAAAGACATGAGCTTGGAAGAAACAAGTAAAGAAAAGCTCATGAAAGTCTCAAAAACTAGTCATTGCTGGGAAAATCTAAAAGTTGAGAGCAGTCACCTTTTACAGCCTTCTCTGTCCTCACAAGGTGCTCTTTTTTCTCAGGTTTCTCGTCATAATGTGTAAATTGACTATAAACACAGGATGTTTCAGTGTCGTTGGCGAAGTAGCACATTCACAGTTCAGCAGAAATGCAGTCTGCTGTTCACAGCTGGAGCTGCCAAAAGCTGTGGACCTGAAGTACACCCAAGAGGCTTTAAAGGGGTACAGAGTGTACCCGTGTGTCTGTGTGTGTGTGTGTGTGTGTGTGTGTGTGTGTGTGTGTCTGTGTGTGTGTGTGTGAGTGCCTTACTGTCTGGCAGGCTGTGTATGTTATTCCCCAGACTCAGGAAGTAGGGATGTTGAAGAGAAGCTTCAGAGGTGATCCTGCTGCGAGTGTCATACTACAATCAGGAGACAAATACAGCTGATTAGACCGTCTGTGAGCTCAACTCGTCTCATGTCCGAGTGAATACATGTTACAGGGGTTTGGTCTCATACCAGCAACAATGCAGACAGAAGGTCAATCCCGTCTAAGTCCAACCTGATGAAGGCAAAGACAACAGCTCATACAACAAACATTGCAACAAAGCACTCAGTGGTATAAACATAATAAATACAGTAGGCTTAATCTGAAAAAGGCAGTAGAGCTAGAGTTAGCTGGGGATCCATTTTCAAATGTAAAATGTTTGATTTTGATCTTCAGATAAAGTTGCCCACAAGAATTAGGTGCATACCAGAGTTCAGAAACCCTGTATGAGGAAATAAAGAAGGAAAACTGTCTGCCAAGGTGATTATGTTTCCTAGCAACAACTTCCATCCAGCTTACTCCTAAAGCTCTACCTTTCCCTGCCAAAATCTGATATGTGAGATGCAGTCAAACTATGAGTTTATAGTCCTGTGTAAATTCTTCCCCAGCTTAGTCATTGTTAGTTGTCTCCTCATTTTTCAGGTTGTTTGCAGTAACTGTAACAGGTCTGTAACCAATAACTGATCGATTTTTCTTTATTTTAAATATTTTTTGGCAAAATGGAGTGAAGACAGGCAAGAGAGTAGAAAAATGAGCGGACCCTGTTCATATGGTTGTTTAATGTGTAGAGCTGTCCATGGTGCTGATCCCATCATGACACCAGAGGGTAACTAACTTTGACATGAAGTCCTTGGACTGTGTATGACCGTAAAGTGTAATAGTTTTGTGAGGCTTTCTTACTTTGCAAGTCTTGTTCATAATCATAGACTGTATATACTACGGACAACTTGGTTCCACCTTCCGTTGTTATGCAAATTTTAAGCCGAATTGCTCTTGGTATTTCCGGGATTTTCTCCACTTCTTGTACGCATTGGGCTCGGCTCAAACAGCGTATCCCAGGGTGAGCTACACAATCTTCATACGCCCATAGGCTGTATCAAGTGTCAATCATAGAAAACATGAACCCCTAATACTTTCTAAAAATGGAGCTGTACAGTAACTACATGTCAACATCACAACCAGGGAGGAGAAAGATTTGTGTTCTGTGTAATAAATTTCTATAGTTTGTCCACAGCTCCATAGGTATTGCTGGAGGAGGATTTATGACCTATACTGCAGCCCGTCACCAGAGGGTGCTGTTCTCGCAGTGTATTCACCCAGCGAGGAGGCAGATGGCGTCCATTCTATACACAGTCTATGATAATATTTAGCCGCACTGTCAATGTATTTGGACTGAATCTAATGCGCATACATGAGCAGATTAGGTCACTGGTAAAAATATATATGAATTATTTTAGGTAGATCTGAAAATGTAATCAACTGCAATAAAATCCCACGTAAGTAATAATTATTATTTGACATTTCAAGGCACTGAGTGGAATAAATTTGACAGTCTAAATGGGCAAGGAGAAGGGGTACTGATATAGTCCGAGACTGTTACACCTGAAGATACCTAAAAAAAACTATGACTCCTAAATCTGGTGTTTCAACTTTGCATTACTATTTTTTTTTTTTTTTTTGCTGTCACACAGGTATTTACTCCTCCGATGGGTGTGGCTGACATGAAAAGTCAGTTTTGACAGTTTTTATGTTCTTTACCCAGAAAGTGGAGCAGATTTTTTTAGTGTTACCTGGGCACATGGTTGAGGAGAGCTTGAGGTCTGTACTGAGGAAAGAGATACGTCCTAAACTCCTCATTGCTGCTTATTCCCGGCCAACTCTCTTCTGTCGGAGTGCCTGCAAGACAAAGAAGTGTGGATGTCTGTGGTCACGTACTTCGTCTTAACTTCATGTTTGACTTGTTTCAGGCTGGCTTGTAGGATCCTATTATCTTGTGCAGCAAACTCACCCATGAGCCTAAAAATTAAATGTAGCTCCTCCTTCACTGTTGCACCGGGAAACATGGGACGACCTGTTGCCATCTCATACAGGATACAGCCCACACCCCTGACAAAGAAGAGAGGAGGAGATGGACACAGAGCAAAGGTACCAAAGGAAACAAAGAACTGTGGGTGGGGCCTTGTTCAATAAAGACACACACTTCAAAGAGTGCTGGTTATGAGTGCAAACACTTGTGAGGTGAGTGGGCCGAGTGCTGCCTATTAGGTGAGCTCAAAGAAGAATGCAGCTCCATATATAATCCTCAGAGCTTTAGCAATGCTGCTCAGGTCCTCTCACCATTGCAAACTGCTAATTAAGCAAAGACACAACAGGAAAGAAAGTGCATGCAGATGCGTTGAACTTCTTGGTATGAGTCATGACTCATCTCTGCTAATAACCTGGGAGGTTGGAGTAGAGATGTGCATGATTCATGGACGACCTGGACCATCCTCAGGCTATAAGACATTTATCTAACCACTGAGCCGACAGAATCACTTAGCTCCAGGGCTGCAGTGTTTTGGGGTTCCCATTTAGATACAACAATGCGCTAAGTCAATCAAGAGATATTCAGAAAATCCCACAGAAGACAAAAAGCATTTCACACCAGATCTTTCACCACTTAGACACCAGTAAAGACACTTTGACTCTTGAACTTCTTCTGCTTACCACATGTCGATGGGTGTGGAGTATTCTGTCGAGCCCAGCAGCACGTCAGGAGGCCGATACCATAGAGTTACCACTTCATTGGAGTAGGTCTTAGTGGGGACGGACTTGGCCCTGGCTAGACCTGAACAATACAACATGATCAGAGTTCAACAATGTGAGACATCAGTTGCACCAGAATGAGAAGTTTTTTTTGTAAGCTGTATATTTGAGGGAAAATTCAACACCTAACATCAAAAATGACACGTTTTTTGTTTTGCCCATCTGCAGACATTCATGACGCACAACTTTAAGCAGTAGGCTTGAACCTTCCCAGGATATCACAGATGTTTAAAAAGTGTTCAGCAATACCCAATTTTCTTAGCCCTGACAGAAAATTAGTGTTATAATGTGTCTGACAGGTCATTGTGCCATTAACACAAGGTAGTAACAGCTCAGTATAAACTTAGAACCTGTGCACCAGTTATGATTTAACTGTTGAAAAGAGTCAGGGAATTATTATTTAGGGGTTATTTACACACTTTAGCACAAAACTGAGAGAAGTCAGACAGAGGGGCACTGTTGCTAGGATACAGGAAATAAGGGTGCTAAAGTAATCAGCACAGACGATCTCCAAGCAGCTATAAAATATAATTGGAAAGTGATGTGGCAGGAAACGCGCTATGTTATTCCCAAGTGTCTGCGTCTTTATGAACAAATTTGCATTTGTAGACACGCACATATTCTGCACGGGAGTGTGATGTTTGTCATACCAAAGTCAGCCAGTTTGAGCTCGCCCTTGTCGTTGATGAGCAAGTTCTGAGGCTTAAGGTCTCTGTGGAGGATTTTCCTCTTGTGACAGTAGGACAGACCTCGCATCAGCTGGAACATGAAGATCTGCAGGAGCGGGAAAGTTATAATGAAGTTAAAATCTTCTCAGGCAATGCTGTTCAAATGTTCCCAAATTAACCAGTATCATGCACAGAAGTTACCTATTAATGAGATCAAACATGTCATAGAAAGAATCTTAATCTCACATCGTATCTGTTAAACCGAAAATATATGAAAGCTCTGTAAAAAAAGAAAAATGAAACATTGAATGTGAAAGTGCACTTGTTTGACTTGAACTGTGCCTTATTTGTTGAAATTGGTATTTGGTTTGGTGATACTTTTTATGATGCAACAATGCATCGTGTGACTATATGAAAAGCATTGAAGTCATCAGTCTTATAAGTGAGTTTAAAAATTCACAGCATCTTATGCTGCGCTCCAGTTGTAGTCGGAAGTCGGGATTTCTGGGCTCTGAGTTGGAAATTCATCTGGAGCGCCCCCCTGAAGTCGGATTTCTGACTCGGAAAGTCGGACGATCCTCACCAACCCCGACTTGACGACAACATCATAATCCAAGATGGCAGCGCAGTGCATCAACAGTTAAGAGTAACAGTGAAAGCTCTCTTAATGTATTATTTATTAGCACTTCCTGTTTCGGTTTTGTGAAATTAAATAAGTGGTATATAACTGTGAACACGGTGCTATAGTGTTTGTAAGAGAAAAATACTGTGTTATGTGTTGTTTATAATGGGTAAAGCTAACAACAACAGCTGACAACGGCTAACAACAACTGACAATGGCTAACGACAGCTGCTGACGATTGTTAACAACAGTTAACAACAGTTAACAATGGCTAACGACAGCTGCTGACAATTGTTAACAACAGCTAACAACAGCTAACAATGGCTAACGACAGCTGCTGACAATTGTTAACAACAGCTAACAACGGCTAACGACAGCTGCTGACAATTGTTAACAACAGCTAACAACAGCTAACAACAGCTGACAACAGCTAACAACAGCTAACAACGGCTAACGACAGCTGCTGACAATTGTTAACAACAGCTAACAACAGCTAACAATGGCTAACGACAGCTGCTGACAATTGTTAACAACAGCTAACAACGGCTAACGACAGCTGCTGACAATTGTTAACAACAGCTAACAACAGCTAACAACGGCTAACGACAGCTGCTGACAATTGTTAACAACAGCTAACAACAGCTAACAATGGCTAACGACAGCTGCTGACAATTGTTAACAACAGCTAACAACGGCTAACGACAGCTGCTGACAATTGTTAACAACAGCTAACAACAGCTAACAACGGCTAACGACAGCTGCTGACAATTGTTAACAACAGCTAACAATATGCATCCATCTTGGTTTATCGACTAGAACGCCGTCAACTCGGTTGTAACATCATTCCCAGCTCTGACATCTGACTTTTGAGGTAACTGAAACGTAGCATTACTGCAATGTTTATGAAGCATTACAATTAGTGAACTTAAAAAAGTCCAATTCACTTTAAAAAACAACAACAACAAAAAAAACTCCCTGATAGTTGAGAAGAAAAGACTGCACTTTATATTCAACTGGATCAAAATACTGTGCTCTGAGTTTGAGCTGCCAACCATGACTAAAATGTACTGGGATTGTCATAGACCTAAGACCTGAATCCACAGGACAACCTCAGGGGTTTTATCATGACTTACGATCCTGGGGAATAATCCTGTCATGGATACTGAACATGCCTGTGTGACGCAGAGAAAGCAACAAAACTGGAACAGCTGGAAAGTGTGGGTGCTGTCACATGGATGTTTCTTCCCTGAGGCTGAAACTGAGTTTATGAGCTCATGGTGAGTTACAGCCGGGTGTCATCAGTGTAAAAATGCTAACTCATGTTGTTTGAACCCACCAAATATCCAAGCTGAGTAGAACCTTTTATGTTCATTGTCATTGGGACTTGAAATGCATGCATGGTTTATTTCAGTCAGTAAAGGTTTTGGGTTTCTCATACTTCTTGCTGATCACTCATTTCTGTGCCTGTGGTGGCTCACCTTGACATTTTGCATGCTCATGAGATTCCCGCAGTTGTCCAAGTACTGTTTAAGGTCACTGTCCTGGAAGAGACAACACCCAAACCCTTTACACTCAACTCTGTCCACATTTCTCTGGTGTGTGTCACTCAACACTTGAGGGTCTGACGGCGGAGGTACTCACAAGATACTCAAACACCAGAGTGAGGCAGCGTTCGGTGTGGATGATGTCGTGCAGCGTGACGATGTTCGCATGTTTCAGGTTCTTCAGCAGAGACACTGGTGCACAAAAAAATAATATTAATAAAAAATATATATATTTTATTCCATTTCTACAAAGTCTGCTCAGATGAATGTGTTTTTTTACACACAGAATTTGACCTCATTTGGCAGGTGATTAAAGACTCATCAGGGCTCCTCTACAAACAAGTGGCTGCTGGAGGAGAGTGGGTGAGTTGTGTTTGGTCTCTTTGCTAAGGAAACCAGGCAAAGTTAAAAATATGTTTAGTGGCTAGTACTATGGCTGGGACCCTATATGTACTGTTGATGAAGTTAGGTGCTGTTCTGAGCATTATTTATGGCTATAGAGTGGATTTTTGGTTGAGGTTTGCACGTGGAGACGTAAACCTCTGTGTATTAGTATCTTGCAGTCATACTAAAGTTGTTGTAACAAGAAAAGCATTCATCTCTCAAGGTTATGATGTGTTTGACCATAACTTAAATTTACGCTGGAATATCCCTTTAAGTATTTTCTCTTCCCAGCTACACCCTCTTTTTACACGATCACTTCTGGCTTCAGAAAAACTTTGATCCCTAAACTCACAGAGGGCTCAAATGTGACTCTGTGCACTCTAACTTTATTTTTTTTTTTTAGTTTTGACTTCTCATATCTTATAATATAATAGAGTTTAGGAAGTTCCTCAGCAGCCTGTAAAATTCTAAACAGGGTGCCTAAATAGAAAAAAAAAACACCCCAAAAAATATTATTTTCTTGTATCCAGATTCTATGGCATGATTAAGATGTACTCTTTTAAATAACAGAGAAAGCTCCTTGAAATGAATGCATGTTTGAGTTATGTAATAAGGGAAAGTGAAAATAAGTATATTATTTACATTCTGAGAGGCAACAACCCTAGACCGATACGTGTGCATGTGTTTGAGGATTAGTTTGTACCTTCTCTGATAGCAGTGCAGGGTGCTCCCTCTTCATGCTCCAACCGAATCTCCTTTAATGCCACCAGGTTTTCTGTAAGTTTGCTCCGTCCTTTGAACACTGTGGCATAAGTCCCCTACCAACATGAAAACACTGTAAAACAAACTGCATCTTTTCATTTTATATATTTACCACCAGTCATGCCTCATGACAAACTCATTCCAGGAAGTGAGTAATGTGTTAGGTTATTTTCCTCTTTGTATCAGAAACTAACTAAATCAGAGAACCACATCTATGGACCTGCTACCCAGCAGGTTTTTGTTAATCCATTAATGGATTCCTATAATTGGATATCTGACCACTTACTCTCACAGCTCATCTTCCTCGGTTACAGTCTGACTCTGTACGCTGACAGCCCTGTATGTGCGTGGGTGTTTTGATATCATTTACTTTTTGATAAGTAAATGTGGGAATCACTGCGCTCCAGTTCTCGTAACCCAAACCCTCTGAAGCACAGGTTATGCCAATTAGCTACAAAAGCAGCTCTTGTAGGTCTCTCGCTGCTTTTCTCTGCTGCTGAGCCTTGTGACCGAGACTAATGCAGACAGCTTCTGTCACTAATTGTCCCTCACTCCTTAAGGCAACAACTGTTCCCAGATAAATGCTCAGATACTTCTGAGACTGTGTCATATAGTCTCTCATTCATAGTGATTAAACATTTTGTAAATGCCTATTTTAGACCATTTGTATTCTTGTGAAACTGTGTAGCTGGGCTCAGTTTATGTAGGAAATGGACACATGGGAATGCCTTAGTTCATCTAGTTGAGGCATGTAAACATAATTATGTGTTGTTCCTGTTCTGACAGCCTGTTAAGCGGACTCTAGGATAGGTCTAAGCCGATACTCCTCTCACCTTTAATTCACTTCTTGATTGGAGCTTTTTCATTCATTGATTCAGGCTGTAAAAGCTGTTCATTCATTACTTGCTAGACACCCATCAGACGTTTGGACTGTTTAAAGTTTTATGTGTGACTGGTTTGTATTGACGTACCTCACCAAGTTTGCCAAGCTTCACATATGTCTCCAGTTTTCCAAAGCCAATGTCTGACTAGAAGCAAAAGAAGACATTATAATTAATCCCCACTGATTTAATTCCTTTCCTTCTACTTCACTGTATATTTGCGCATGCTCAAGTTTGCATTAGCAAATGTTTTCCCAAGTTAATGAAGAATAAATCTTTGTGTGCTTTATCAACCTGACAGGATATAAATTCATCTATCTAGAGAGAGCAACACAGAAAGTATCGGTGTATTAAAAGATAAGAGGACTAATCATTCACAGGGAGAAAATATGCCTGTAATAAGAGCTGACATGTTCTTGAACTAGACTAATCATCAGGTGGGTGAAGAGAGTAAACAAGGAGCTAATATAGTTGGTATAACAAGGTTTTTATGATATAAGCCCGACAGCGATCAATATAGGGGGGGAAATAGTGACATCTATTTCATAAACCTTATTAGAAATGACCTCCTACGTTGATATGACTGTAATTAAAATGGATTGTAAGGAGATTCTTTCCATCGGACCAGCACAAACAAGCTGTTACTGTCAAAAGAGGACCTGCTGTTCCAAGTGTTACCTGTTAAGCTAACTTGTCCCTGACCATGTTATGAGCTACAGCTACTTTGGCTCGTTTAGGGCTGGTAACCTGCTGGTCCAGCTGACATGACAGGAGAAAACATGGGAAAAGATGGAGCATAACTTCTGAATGATTAACTTTATTCAGAGTTGCTGCACACACAACTGCCTCGATTGCACGCCAACAGAACAGACTACCCAAATTTCCACTGCATATGAAACAGCGATGGCGGCGATTTTCTCTGTTCTCAAAGATGGATTGAGGTGAGTAGAAAACTGTCCTGTGGTCTGACTAATCAAAGCTTGGGTGCTGCCTCATTTGCTCTGCTCTGGCCCCACTCATCTTGGGATTAGAGCTACAGTTCAAAAGCAAGTGTCTTATGGGGATCCACAAGTATCCATGCCTTGGGAAGCTTGTACATCTGGGAAGGCTGCATTAGCTCTTAAAAATAGAGACAACATGTCTTGCTATTCAGGTGTTTTGAGCACAACAATGCCAAACCAAAATCTGCATGCACTAAAACAGCACAACAAAGAGTGTTCTGTTGCTAAAGCTGCCTGCACTTGTCACTCAATAAAAACATTTGCTGCATAAAAACATGACAAGAAAGTAGAGAATAAATCATTTCAAACATTTTCAACATTTTAAACACAATCAATATTTTACACAGCGTATCAACTTTCCGAGAACTAACCAATGAGGCACGGCGAGACATGCGACTGAGAGGTTTGCAGGGTGATGAGTTTTCACTCTCCAGCTGAAGTTTCTTGAGAAACTCTGGAGGCAGACGGATGTCCATGGGCAGAGACATGCGCTTGCTGACGTCCTGCAGAAAATCAAGAGACGTAAAAGTTTAGCGCATGCACCCGTCGGTTCATCAGTGTGCAGAAGATGTGGGGTCGTGTTTCAACTACTGAAAATAACACAACTGAACTAGAACGAAATGCATTTATTCCACAGCTTCCATGCCTTGGCTTTACTTACAACTAGACCCCTGAATACACACAAAATGTTGGATGAAGTCTAAATTGATGGTAGATAAGTCAGTTCAGGAAAACATCCAACTAAGTTGTCTAAAACATATTATTGTGCTTAAAAGACAGGGGAGAACAGAAAATGCATAGATGTATAAAAAATAAATAAATATATTTCAAGGCCTGTCATGCATGTTGTTTCGGTCATCTGTCCCACTGATGTCTGAGGAAATACCTCTGATTCGATCAGCACAGCCACACACATGAGAGCTTGCTCTCCACTTCTCTCTAGGTTTTGCTCGGATTCCTCCTGTGAAGTCAGGTTTTTTTTTGGTTGCCCAGCAATCTAATGTTCTTCTTTTGCTATATTGATTCTTCTGTTGTTAATAAACAGAGGCCCCGGTCTGTAAAATATCTGAAGGGCTTGGTTTCCTGCTCAATTCTTCTACAGATAATGGAGGTCTGGGTTTGACTGATATTAGATGACAGGCCTCTAAGTGTCAGTGTAACTCTGTACAGGACACAGTGTGTATCCTATGTTAATAGTGATGGGCACGGCAGTTCTTCTAGATGCACTGAATCACTAGAATCGGTTCACTGAAAAGATTTGTTTAAAAGATTCGTTCACGATATCACCGAATCATTCAGTGCCTGGCAGGAGGAGCCTGCAACTCCGACTTCCTGGACCGATAAACAGCTGAACAGTTCAGGTTTCAGTTCAGTTCACGGTTCCTGGGCCGGGGAGACGAGAGTGTTGTGGCTGCACGTGTGGTTCCCCCACTTTAGGAAGTGATTCGTTTCAGTACATTCACTTAGAAGATCCGTCCTTTTGAACGAACCACTGACGAACAACACAACACTAATTGACGTCCAGTCCCTCCATGGACAGTTTGAAGATGTTTTTATGCTTCAGGGTTTTTTAATCTCTCATTTACACTCAGCACTCCACTTCAAGCTCCAATCTAGAGAGAGTTAAGAGTCAGAGTGCAATTCCCTCACCCCAGAGGGAGCCAGGTGAGGAGGTTGAAGGCATATAGGTATATACACAGACACTGCATTAGCAATGTTCCCCCACTACTGTAATATGTCAGTGCATCTAAAATATCATCATTTGTTGTATACTGGTGGGAAGCTCTGTTGATGGTGATAAGTCAAACTCAGACCAGTATGGTCACATAACAACAGTCAGGAGGCATGTCTCTTCATTCGGGTGAAAGTGCATCCTTCCAGATCATCACACTGACGCAGCTGGTCACTGTGGCGTTGGATCATAATAGAATGCTTTCTGGGTGCTCTGGAAGTTTTCCAGGCAAATGCAAAAGGACAGGGTTAGACCCATGACTTCCTGGAGGAATCCTTGAAGAGCCTCATGATCCCTCAGCATGACCAGACAAGCATTGGTGGCCAAAAGCGTTTGAATTGGGCCTCCTTAGCCTGCTGCCACCAGACTAGTGGAAGACAATAGGTTCATAGAGCCCAGCGTTGTTCTTAAATCAGTTTTACAAAATTGGAAAACTGACTTTATTTAAAAAACTGTCAAAAGAATCGATAAAACTTTAAGACCTTAACAACCCTTAATCTTTGACTACCCTTATGTAAGTAATTTGCATGGTAGTTAAAGCAGATACAAGATCAATATAAAAGTTTTGTTATACACTATATATATATAAACAATATATATGTGTGTGTGTATACAATATATAGTATATACTGTATATGGGGCCTTTGAATGTTCATTAAAGATGACAGTTTTATGTTAAAGGAATGTTGGAAATCTTAGACCGATGAACACTGCTGTTATGCTTGTTCATTATAAAGACCTTTTAAAATTGGGACTGTGCTCAATGGAAGTAAATGTGTGAACTGCATTAATATTTATAAGCTTCTCCTTGAAATATTTTCTTAATAGAAGCTCATAAATTTTAAAGAACAACTCAACCGCACTGTCATGAGTGACCTTAGTTTATATAATCCGGTGACTCTTTCAGACTTTATAAGCTCCCAGTGCTCTCATATTAATAATTATTTTGGTCTTTGTTGTACCGCATCTTGCCCCAGCTCTCTCTTCCCTCAGGCATAGCTTCATCCAACTGTCTGGTACAGATATTAAAAAGGTTGGAAGTGAATCACATTCACTCCAGTGGGACTTTTTTCTACAAAGGTGGAACTGTGCACTTGCTCACATTTCCAATCAAAAGTCTGGTGCTTTGGGGAGGTTTAAAAGCTTCAGAAGTGACTCACCTTATTGAATACAGACACAACTTCATGAGAGGAGTATTGAGGCAGAAGAACCAACTACTTGTGCATTGCTGATGCCAGTGTCAGCCAGACCTCTAATGTGTTCAGAGCCTGATGTGCAACATGTAAATGACTGTGGAGGAAGAGCTCTGCAGCATGTGACTACAGCATGACCAGACAACAAAGTCAACCTACAGCCTGTTAACCCCCAATCTGCTCAGTCAGCTCTCTGCTCACCTCCATGGAGAAACGTCTGTGTTGGGCCTTGCTGTGGTACTGAAGGTGGGATGGAGACTGAGCGCCAGGAGTTGTTGGTTCAGGGGTAACAGGACTGGCATCATGAGACTGAGGACCCAGCCTGTCTGGAGTCAGACCTGGCAGAGGAAAAACATCACAACTCACGTGTCATTGATGCAAAGATGGTGGGAATGAAACAAAAAAACCTGTTTTAGTTTTTTTTTCCAACACAGCTTCACTCATAGGCTGCTTAGATACTGTTTGATCATCATTGATTTTGTTTCTAAGTTAATATGTCTTATCATGTTTAGCTGCTTCAGGGACTTTTTTTAATTGAAGAACTAGGACTGAGATTCAAACATTAAAGGCAAACATCCCCCAGTGTTTGTTCGTTGCTTAACCTGTTTCAAAGCTGTAAATCTAACCCTGACAACACTGTGAAGATGACTGATGTCAACTTCAGACATAACCAAAAAAAAAAAAAAAAATCTGCTCTTATTTCTCTAACTTTTTGGAGCACTTTCATCTTGTGTGTCATGCACAAGAATGATGCTTTCACGCATTGATGGAGGAATACTTTTATCAAGCATCGCAGCAGTTTCTTGTCCCGAAAGGGCCACCGTCATCTCTGGTACTTTATGAAAAGCAGGGGAGATGCTCAATCAGGAGTCTAACTTTTATGTCACTACATATGTTGATGATGCATGTGTTTTGATTTTTCCAAAGATTAGAGTTAAACAAATGCTTACATTATTAGGAGCATGGCTAAACTGACTGGTAGGTGGACGCATTGTAGCTGCTTCAACTCAGGAACCACCAGGTGATGCCACAAAGCCTATACCTTTGCTTTATAGCTTATGGTTAATCATAACAACTGGGACAATGAACAAATGACAAACAGAAACTGGAGCACTTCAGGTGCTAAAAAAGACAGATTACATTAAACTAAAGGATCTTTGAAAAGCAGTTTGAAAACCTTTTTTTCCCCCTAATCTTCTTCTAAAGTGTGTGTGTGCGTGCGTGCGTGTGTGTGTGATCATCTAATTTGTTTTGATTAAGCATAACTGTGCTCAAAAACCTTAGAAAAAGCAGTAACAGGTGGCTAAATGAAGGCCACAATCAGATTGAAACAGAAACCTCCTCCTGCAGCCACTTGTTTGAGGGGGAGCCCTGATAAGTCGATCACCGAGTGCAGCGGATCATTTTTACAAAGTGATAATCATCATAACAATCATTTTGTGCTGCAGAAGCGGTAGTTCTTCTACCTCAGCATCTTGGTCTGATTGCATTTCCATGAAGTAATTATCATAAATGTTCTCTTTTAGCTGCAGAACTCTGCATCACTCAGTGATCGACTCATCAGGACTCCCCCACAAAAAAGCGGCTGCTGGAGGAGAGTGAATGAGTTGTGTTTGGTCTCTTTGCTAAAGAAACTAGACAAAGTTAAAAAGATATTTGGTGGCTAGTACTATGGCTGGGACCCTATATGTTCTGTTGATGAAGTTAGGTGCTGTTCTGAGCATTATTTGTGGCTAAAGAGTGGCTTTTTTCGTTGAGATTTGCAACATTCATCTCTCAAGGGGGAGTTTAACTCTGTGTTACGGTGTGTTTGACCATAACTTCATTTTACGCCAGAATATCCCTTTAAGTCTCCCTTGGTTTGGGAAACACTGCCTTTAAATGCACACACACAAAACAGAAAGCATGAAGAACCACAAACACAACAGTAACCCTCTTGTTTTCATTGATGGTTCTCACCAAGACAGCTCAGGCAGCTGGAGCCAACTTGTGGCCATTATCCTCTGAGCAAAATAAATAAATAAATGAAAACACAGCAGAGTGATGAATATCCAGCCAGTGAGGTTGGCAGGATAGACTTTGATCCATTAAAATACAAAAATGTGTGTGTGATGTGTTTGATGCCTGGTCGGTGTCTTTTATACCTGCTGTTGGCGCTCAGGGACAGTTTGATCTCACATTTCAATGGTGAGCACTGACTGTGGAACCGTGTGTGATGTCTGAAGTGGACATGCGCCTCCATTTTATCAACAGCCCTGGGCATGTGCATGTGCATGTGCGTGTGTTCATGTGTGTAGGTTACAACTATTCCCTCCTGGGCTGAATGAATCACAAAGTGTTTTAACTCCTCGTTTCCATGGGGACAATAGCTAACAAGGGTGGCTGGTGTTAAAAAGACGCTCAATTTCTCTTTTCAGTGGCTCCCCTCAACAAGCAAATGTCCTCATGAATACACACAAACATTAACTACCTTCTTTTATATCACAGGGTTGTCAGTGGTGTTGTACCAATTTTTATGACAAAAATGTGCACACCCTCACAATAGCTGCTGCTGGAGAATAACAATGGAAAGATAAAGAAGCCAGACAGACCGAGGCCAGGGTGATCAGGATGAGCTAAGACGGTGACAAAGCAGCCGTTCTTCTATCAGACCACTTTGTGTCAGATTGATCGACAGTCTCAACGGGCTGGAGGGCTGAAATGATAACCTGTTTGCTAGTCATTTGAATATCACAGCTACACCGCTCCTTTGATCTGCCAATGCTAATTGGGGTCAGGAAAAGTGACATTGATATGCGCGCATACAAACACATACACACACACACACACCCACACACAGCGCCTGACTGCTGTGAGATATGGATGGATACCGGCTAGAGCTAGACATCCTGTTAGAGAAAGGACAATCCAATACGGTACACCACATGAAGCTTTTGTGAGTTGTCTATATAAAGCTGTGGACGCAGAGAAGAGGACAAAGACGTGGTATTAAAAATATTACTGATCTCTGGAAGGGGGGTGAGACTCATTGGCAGCAAAAAAAATTGAGTTTCATGTAATTCATAGTCTTGAGTTTGGCTCAGTTACGAAAAAAATCCTGAATTAGACACTGAGATAGGTGCCACCATTCCCCTGCTGTCTTACATGCAACTCATTGTGATCTTTATCACACAAGGCAGAAACATCTCTTTGTTTGGTGTAGCAAACAAAACACACTCTGCAGCAAGGAAAGACAAAAACAGCATTAACAAAACAAGTTCTCTCTAAACTTTGATAGACTTTGTAAATCGTCCAAACCATAGACTGTATATACTGTGGACAATGTGGTTCCGCCTTGCGCTAGTATACAGATTTGAAGCCAAAAAGCTTTTTTTTTTCTCCATTTCCTAAATAGCGTTGTACGCACTCCACCACTTGCGCAGTTGCTTTGTAAGCATTCGGCGGGAGAGTCGCCGAGAGTCGCTGTGATGATGCTCAGCTCAAACAGGGTATCCCTCCAGGTGAGCTATGCAATCCTTGTACGCCCATAGGCTGTATCAAGTGTCAATCATAGAAAACATGAACCCCCTAATAACTTTTAAAAACGGAGCTACACAGAAAAAAGAGGACTTGAGCACAAACCAGTCTTACTGTAACTACATGTCAACATCCCAATTTATATTCTGTGTAATTAATTATTAAAGTTTGTCCACAGCTGGAGGAGGCAGGATTTATGACCTGTACTGCAGCCAGTCACCAGAGGGTGCTGTTTTCGCAGTGGCTTCATCTAGCAAGGAGGCAAACGGCGTCCATTCTATATACAGTCTATGTGTTCACCAGTTTATGCCAATCAAACATGCTAAAAGCTTAATATCCCAAGACCAGAGGTGGGCACAGTTAATCCAGAATTTGACTTTGTTAGCTGTTGATCCATTAACTAAGACATGAACTTGGATCAAAGTTTATTAATCTATTCAAAACTTGTTGGAAGTAAACAATGACATGACCTTAAAGGCTGTTCAAAGTTGGAATTAACTATTATTTGCGACAAGAAAAAAAATAACATTAAATATCTTGTCTTTTTAGTGTATTCAATTGAATATAGAAAATATAGAAAAGAATTTGCAAATCATTGTATTCTGTTTTTATTTACATTTATCACAATTTCCCAACGTCAATGGAATTGGGTTTTGTACATTGGTTTAAGGATGTTAATCTCACTGTAAAAGCAAATGAGGGGCTGCCAGAGAACACAGCAGGATAATTCCTGTCTGTTTTTTCCTTTTTTTTTTTTATGTACGTGCCAGAGTTTTGAATCCCTTGTCAAAGAAAAGGTTGATTGAAATGATTTGATATTTCTTTAATCAGGATCCATTTCTGCTGGTGTTTCATCTGCAGACTCAGAGACAATCTGTTTTTAACTGGGATCCTGAAGATGCTCATCAGAGCCCTGATGTGTCACAGTGGCTGATGTGATTAATCTCAGTGTGACACTAACACGTTCATATGGCAGCTCAGCTAAACAGCTTTGAAAAGACTGATACAGGAAAAATGAACAAAGGATTTCTGCCTCGTGTGAAATATTATAAACATATTCAGATCTACACATATACAAATCTATGTTTGAATGACTAAATCTTAAAGTCTTAAGCATCTGACAAGCAGAGATCAACATGTGTGTCTATACCCCTCTTCTTCTTCTTCCTCTGATAGCGAATAAAACTGTGTGTGTGTTCATCCTTTGGGAATGCTAATGTGTTCATGGTGAGCAGTGAACTGAGACAGACTGACTGTCTGTGTTTGTCAGTGTGGTCCAGCTGCTCTTGTTTTGAAACGCTCAAAATGGTATCAGGGAACCAGGAAATCATTCCAATAACAGGACTGCATTAAGGTTCTCCCTAGAAGCCTTTTCCATTGTTGCTACGCTACAGACGTTAGCTTCAAGTTTTTGCATCTGAAATGACAAACTATGAAGTATCTCCAAATCATTAGACCCAAATTTTATTCATTTTGTTGTTTGCCCTTTTTAACTTTAGTTAATTAAAATCTCTTTTTAGTCTTTCCTTTGTTCAAACACACATTGACACAATCTTGACAATATACATAGATACCTCTGCATAGTAGTCTTTCAGTTTTCAGCAATGAGCATAATGGCTAAAATCTAAGGGACACATTTGTCTTTGATGTTTTGAGTTAAGTCAAGGTTTAAGGGTAATATATCTTTGATTACACATCAGAAAACTATTCAGTGATACGTGAAGCACATAAAAAGAGTCAGAGTTGAATCTGAAGCTGTGGCAGACAGTAGCAGTGTAAACAGGCCACTGCTCAGTGTGATATTTTTCTTATCCTTCAGCATCCACTGAACAATATAACTGCTGGCGTTATATAGATAACTACAATTTGATGTGGGTTTTTATCACCTGCTGTAGAGACATCGTGTTATGAGCCGAGCATATCCCATGGCTATTTGGAGAGCTATTTCTGTCTCTATTGGGTCTTTGTTGAAGTCATAGAAGTCTATAACTTTTCTTATTCTGAGCTTTTGTCTGCAGGAATTGCAGGAATAGTATTGTGATGTCCATGGTGATTTCAAGGCAACTGAAACTAAGATAAGGTAACATAAGATAAGAAGAACTTTATTTATCCTTGAGGGGATGAAGAAAAAAAAGTCTCCCTACCTATCCTCAGCTCTGGAAATGATGGTGAGTCTGGGTCTTAATTTCTATGAGATCAACGTCATGTTCCAGGGAGGACTGGGCGATTATACGATTGTGATAAATTTCAGTTTGATCACGGTGATCAGCTGTGAGCATATTTACTCGATCAAACATGGCAGATTGTGCGTGACAACAGCCAATCAGAGTCAAGCTTTTCCTGCTCACTTCTGTAAGTTGCTGGAGAAGTGAAGTGAACAGAATGACCGAATGTGGAGCTAAACTTGGAGCTGAGGGCAGCAAAATAGATGTCAGCCATGACTTTGAGTCATCCTCCAAAAGATGAGAAGAAAAGTTATTCAACGCCGGTTGTGTGGCGGTGGTTCGGATATCTCCAAAGTGATGTTGTGCAAAGAAGCCGATTTGCAAAGTATGTCGGTGGTCGGTGCCCTCAAAAACCGGAAACACAGCAGATCTGTTTAATAAAATGTTGAACTAATCTCTAGTTTATTTTGTTTTCAGTACAGATGCTTTCAACTGGCAGTCCAAAACAAACAAAAAAAATGGACGATATGACAAAATATATCGTGATCATTTTTTTGCCAAATTGCCCAGTCCTAGTTCCAGGTTTTCCAGACCATTATCTTTGTACCACTGTGCTAGATCGTCGCTGTCCCCCAAATATGCATGGTAGGTGGTGTCATTCAAAAGCCCTGAGATAACTGGTGCATGAAATGGAGAAGTGTAACCAGAGACAAACAAACAGAAAGGTCCCCATTATTAGCTCATTTCCTCTAATAAGTGTCTGCAGCTTCACTGCAATTAGGTATGATGAAATAATGGTAGGTCACATCACTGCAGCTTAAAATTGTCTCGTTGTTCCATTGAATAAATTACACCATCCAGTACATGATATGATCTGTGCTTCCTTATGTAAACGCCCCACTCTGATGCAATAATGAAGTTTTCAGAGGCCTGGGTTTACATGATAGATTATAAAACAACAAACGCCATAAAAGGAACCTTTGAATCAGGACAAAATGAAAAGTGTCCTTTCTCTCCTCCTTCTCTTTCATGTGGTTACAAGGACCAAGCAGCACCGTGAGGCACTGTGTGTTCATGGCCCACAGCAACAATCTGAACAACTGGATTTTAGTCCCCACTGTGCGTGCTGGAAAGAAGTCTGTTCACAGTCAAAACTTAGCAACCAAAAGCCAACTCAAACTCACTCTGACAGCTGCCTTATTACAACCTGCAGCCTGAGGATAAGACACAAGCTGAGGAGGACACATTATTTCAGAGATGAGATGAATCACATTGTTTCAATTAGAGGAGCATGTCGGGTGGATATGAGATGGGGAACTCTCTGGGTTTAATGTTCACTAAACTCCAAGTCTCGGCTGATTTCAACTTCGGTAACATGTTTTGACAAGGACGTGAAACTCATCATAACACCTGTTGGCGCTCAGCATACGTTGCAGGTGAACTTTATAACAGAGCTGAGCTACATTATGATACACGTCCACCCCTCTTTCTCAAATCTGATTTATGATTTCTTCAGACTAATATTCAGACTCTGAGTCATTCAGCAAACAACAGCAGAGTTCAGTAAAATGGAGCTCTGTGTTGTTGAAATGTGACTTGATAGACTTTTAGAAACAAGTTTCAGGCGTTCAGATTTTAGTATCAGTATTTGAAAAGCGTTTTTAGTCAAGATGACCAAATATGGCGAGGTATTGGATATGGATATGGTGCGTGCATTGCTTTATGAGATAAAAGTTAGGAAAGGAGGGATGAAGCAAAGCAAACAGTTCATCACACAGCCTCTGTTTTTTTTGTCACACACACTTCTTAATCTTCTTTGTTTTTCACTGTATCCCTGTGTGTCTGAGTGTCTCTGTCTGGTTCTCCTTTGTTTGACCTTCATGAGCAGACAGTGATGCAGACAGATGTTCTCTAGAGGGTTTAGAGGACACATCACGCTGCCACTCTCATCCAGGTAACAGAATAAATGCCTCCTTTAACTGAGATGAACCTTGAGTCTCCTCCTCATCATGACTGTTTCAGTCCAGAATCAGATGAACAAGCAGGTCAGATATAACCACCTGACTGGTGCATCATGCTTGAACAGAAATTTTCATGCACTTAACTTTACACTATTTTGTGTGTTCCTGAAGAGACCTTCAACTTCTCTTCACTTCTTCCATTGACTTTGAGTGTTGTAGCGCCAACTCAGGGCAAATAACCATAAACAACAACTCTTAATGCACCGTGTCCTGGTGGTGCTTTGATCCAGAGGTGCTCTTCATTATAATTCAATCTCTTTGTACCATCTTCACGGTCAAACTCCGCATAACAAACCAGAGATACTAGAAAACCTCATTCTCAATGCGTTCAGTTCTCTCACATTACTTATCCTGGCATAACCCTCATTTCCCTTTGAAACCTGCTGATCCTCTGTTCCTCAGCCCCGGTGGTGGTACCAGTCGTAGCCGGAAAAACCCTCTTTAATCTGCGACAGTTTGCTACAGACACAGGAGGAAGGAAGGCTTTTGTATTTGGTATTAAAACCCAGAATGAGATTGCAGTTTGTGCTCTATTATTAGACATAAGCTGTTCATTCATGCAGGGTCCTGAACACAAAAGGAGGAGATCTCAGCGTTTAGGTCTTAAAACATGTCTAATTAAGCAACTGTTTTAGACATTATGAAATGTAAGCCACTCAGGCCACCCTGCCAAAAACTCAAACCCTTCAGTGACATTTCAGCTGGCTCAACAGAAACACTATAAATAATAAGTGTGTGGATTATTCCTCTAAACTGTTTGGTTTGTCCACAGAGCTGGGGTCTAGTCATACTAATCACTTATGTCTGAAGTAAATTCATTAAAACTTCACCCTGATCAGCCTGTAGGAGACTTTTCTGCTGATAGATGTTGTCCTAGTGTGCTGTGAATGTAACCTCTGCTTGATCATTAACCCTCTTCAGTCATTTTTCCTCTAATAATTACTTTGCAACTTCATTTTTGACAACCTTGCAGCCCCACTTGTTCCTTTTTGCCTCTACAGGTCACTGAATATGACATATGCTGTTTGAGTGACAGAAAAATCCCAGATAACCTATTTCATTAATTCATTTCAGCGGCTAAAGTATGCTGGCATGAAAGAGCGCAGACCTCCAACAAGAAACCAGTTTTTCCACATGTATTTCAAGGGAAAATAATCTTACATTCAGATCTATATGCCTATTATTTCCTGGGATTTTCCCACCAGACATTGTGGCTAATGGCCTTTTTTTTTTCCAAAGGATAACTGCATGTGAAATCTACAGTGGCCCTGAGGTGCAAAACAAAACGGCAAATCAGAAAACACACAAAGAAAACAGAAAACACAACACAAAAAGAGAGAAAACAATGGTTAATCTTGTTGTGTTTTCTGATATTCCGCTGTTTTCTCCTTTTGTATTGTGCTTTCTCTTTTTGCTGTTGTGTTTTATTTTTTTGTGTTGTGTTTTCTCTTTTTGTGTTGTGTTTTCTCTTTTTGCCGTTGTGTTTTGCACCTCAGGGCCACCGTAGACAACCAGCTAAAAGGCAGGAAAAGCTAATGTAAGCTCTGCTGCTTCGGCAATTTCTGTTCAACTTAACTGTTTACAGCCAAATACACTCTGTTAACATTCCTGTTGTTGCCGCAAATCAATGAACTTCTGAAAATTCATAATTTATGGTTCCTGTTTGTTACGATCACCACAGTTACATATGTTTATTACATGCTTCCAAGCTTGCTATCAGACTGTCTAATAAAATGTTTGAGCAGCAAACATGTGCGAGGAGGTCCAAATGAGGCTACATGATGTTGAAGCTGGAGACGGGATGAAGCAAAATACAGTTTTTGCTGCAAAACATTTTCTTGCAAGGGGGGAAACACAACCTCCATTGCCAAGCACATCTACACTGTGTATCAGATCAAGTCAAAGTACCTGCAGCACCTTTGAAAGTCTACGGCTAGAAATAACTCCACTGACACTGTCTGCTGCTGCTGCAGGACTGTCATCTTCCTCTTCACTCAAAGCAGCGGGGGTCAGCACAGTCAGACTTAAGAGCAGGTCCTGTTAATTCAAAATCATGATCCAGTGTTGAAATCCATGATGAACTCAGCAGGATAAAAGCTAATGTGCTAATTAACGAACTAATTCCAGAGGAATCATTGTGGGGTGTTCAAGGTCAGTAAAAAAGACTTGAGGCAAAAGTAGATAATACTCTATCATGATATGTTCAAATGTCATGTCCAGGGGAAAACTGTATAAATATAGTACTTTAAAGAAGAACAATTATGGTTAAAGACTCAATAACAGTATTGTTAAGGACTCGAACCATTAAGGAGTCTCAATGATGGTGTCAGTATAGATACAAACTAATGATCCCCATCCCTACTATTCATCGACTTACACTTCTGGCAGAATGATTTGATTGATTTGATAATCAATCAGCTTACCGTCTGCCAAAATGATTTATGACTGCTTTATTATTGAAAAAAAAGGAAGAAAGAAATTCTTCATTGACTCAAACAAAGAGCTGTGCATGTAACTTTATTTCCAAATGTCATTTGTGGATGTCATTGGCCTGATGGAAACACAGACAACAACAGGCCACAGGAACCATTCAGTACCATGACAGGAAATCCTGGAGCTAAAAGTTCTGGGTGCTTTTGGTCGAAAAGCATCTTATGTCAGAGGAAGGGAACCAGGCGCAAGCGGTACCAATCTGTCTGTTTTGTCTACCATCCAATGGACATACTTCTTGTACGAAACGCAATCTCCATTTTTTAAAAAAAGCTTCTAATATGGACATGCTGATAAGTTAAAGTTTTAATTTGGAAGTCAAAGCCATGAAACTTGTCTTAACTTTTCAAACTGGGAAATAAACTAATTACAGGTTGATATCTTTCAGGTTTTTAACAGGCTTGGGAAAATAAGAGTCCTTACCCTGAGTGTGCCGAATGTTGAGCTGATTGATCTGCTCGGTGAATTCATTCTCCTCAATGGTCTCGGTGCGGGGAACAGATAGAGAGAAACGCCTCTTAAAGTTCTTCATCTTGTTCATGGTGCTGTGGAACAAACTCTGGAAAATCAAGACGACAAAGAGATAACGTGTTATTCATTTAAACTGTACTGTTCCTTCACCTCATGTAACACACAGTTCCATGTGGTGCGAATGTTGATTTTCTGTGAGCAAAGCAAGGAGAAAAATATCAAACTTTTTTTTTTTTCTTTAGCAGAACACAAAGTTTCAAATAAATCAGAGAAACAAACATGTAAAACCAACCCGGCGACAGAACACGAGCTGCAGAGCATGATGTGCACCTTCAACGGATCTGTGTGTGCAGCTTTGCCAAAGACCATCTCCATGTCATTTGATAATGAGGCAGAAAGCAGCTGGAAAGATTTTGATAAAAACAACCTCTTTTCAGCGGGACACACCACCACAGCCAACACGACTACTTAGTTATCACTAGCTGTGCACTTTTTCTTCATTTATCTTTTATGGTCTTCTGTTTCTCCGCCGTCACTCTCTGCTGCCGAGGTGGGTGTCATGGCTCTCTGAGATTTCTTTACTGACAGGGATTTGTGCGTGTGTGTGTGTGTGTGTTTCTGCTCATTAGTAAGAAATACTATGTGTACAGTCGGCTCAATTACAGCAAGGTTCCACATCCCCTGCTGTTATTTATATGCCTCAGTTACCCATCAGGATATTACTCTCTGTGAGTGATCCCTGCTAGACACACTGCTAGACTTCTGCAAGACAAGCAGCCAACAGGCCACTGACTGAATCCTGATCCTGTGATGTTAACACAAGCCTGATTCATTCACAGATATGGTTTCATAACTTCTTCAAAAAGTGCAGGAACAGCCAGGGTGCATCCATAGCTAAGCTTTAACTCGATTCTAAGAAGTATAGATACATCAAGCTTGATCATTTTGAATTCGCAACCCTGTACATGGGTTCAAAACACTGTTTACATTTGCCACTTGCTTTAGAGGATGCTTTACAAACCGGCTCACAGGCTCCTCTTTGGTTTCTGATGCGACCAATGACTGTATAAAACATCCATGAAGAGTAAGAAATGTTTTCTATTGGTTTCAACGCAGATGCCATACAGGACATTCTGGGTTTATCAAACTTTGATTCGGCCTGTAGCCTCCTCTCTAATTGCTTCTGTTAAAAAGACTGTTCCCTTTACTGGAGAGAATTGATAAAGTGACAGAGACGTCCCTTATTAAGCTTTGTGAGATGAAAAAGAAAAACCTCGTCAAGTTTAAGAATGGTGCATTACTGAAACAGGAAGTTGGTCTCTGTTTTATTGGGTTGTAATTACATAAAGGCCATAGTTGTGTTGATTCATTAGCCTAGATTAACAAATAATGTGGATGGCTTTTTCTGTATATTATAGCATGTTGTGTTAGACTTACTTAAAAGGGATATTCCGGCATAAATTTAAGTTATGGTCAAACACCCCGTGACACAGAGTTAGACATTCCTTTGAGATATAAATGTTGTTTGCTTCTCTAGTTATACCAACTTCAGCAACAACCGCACAATAGGAATACACAGCGGTCTACATCTCCATGTGCAAATCTCAACCAAAAAAGGTACGCTAAAGCCACAAATAACGCTCAGAACAGCACCTAACTTCATCAACAGTACAACAGTATAGGGTCCCAGCCATAGTACTAGCCACCAAACATCTTTTGAGCTTTGCCTGATTTCTTTAGCAAAGAGACTAAACACAACTCACCCACTCTCTTGTTTGTGGGGGAGCCCTGACGAGTCGATCAACGAGTGCAGCAGAAATTTTATGATCATTACTTCATTGAAATGCAATTAGACCAGGACGCAAAGGCAAAAGAACTACCACCGATTTCATAAACTCCCCCTGGACAGCCCCCCTAAAGAAGACATGTCCGGGTAAAAGAGGACATATGGTCACCCTAATTTCTGCAGAAATTGAGACCCTCGGACTCCTGATTTTAGTATTTACAGAATCTTAGCAGCAGCTTTGCTGTATGTGCCCGAGGTTTTCTGTGTTGCAAACGGTCTATTGAGTCATTGAGAAGAGGAGTATTGTACAGAAACAGCAAAACATTGCACTAGATATAAGATCCTGTGTCAATGTTTTTGAAAGGTTCATTTACAATCCCTCCCTGTTGACCTTGCTCTTCCCTACTCCCCATTGTTCAATCATAACTTTGGAAACTGTAACCAGGTAAAACAGGACTGTAAAGCTGTCCAAATACCAGCATTACTGGAGAAGAGTGTCTGTCACAGATCAGACATAGTTTTGAACATCATTAAAGATGAATTATGATCCTTAGAACAACAGCATTTATTGGAAAGGTTTCTGAAGTTACTCCTGTTGTCTCTTACCCAAATTTGACTGATCGTGGGTTTCTTTTCTTCACGAGTTTTTGTCTGAGTATAATAGCTGGAGCCGTGCTTTCAGACATTTGCTGAAGATACAAGTTGCAATCAGCGAACGAAGTCAAAAACATTCAGTATTTCTGCACTTTTAAAAAGCTTGAAGAATTATTTGTAGAATTATTTCCAGTAAACAGGCTGTCTGTTTAGTTGGCAAAATGATGTTTATTTTTAATTAAAACAACTACATGAAGGTTTTAAAATGGAGAGAAACTCAAACTTTATAGTGAATTAGTGGAATTTCAAACTTAACAGACCAATCAACAAAAAACAAAGTGGGCAGGACTCATTGTTAAAGCTTGTTGGACAATTTATCTGGACTGCTGTCCTCGTCCCAGTTTACAAGCAACAATCAAATTACTGACCGAAGTATGTTGGCCCTCACTCTGGTAGGTGTGGACATGTCCCCTTTCAGCTCATTACTGGGCCATCTCCTGTTTGATCTACTGCGTACATAATTAACAAAGTATGTTAGCGAGGGGCTGATGGATGATCGCTTTTACAGTTTTACTGACGCATTTGCACGGTTCAACTTCCTGGCCAATGCAAACTCTTGGTCACATGCTAAACACGAAGGCCAAAATCGCTCCCAGTGTATCTGTGACAAACTGCTTCATCTGGGGATATCAGTCCCAAATGGGAAGTTTAAGTGTATTTCTTGAACAATATGTAAATGTACTGAGCGTTAGGCAAATCACTTCAATGCAAAACCTGTGAACAGCTTTTAAAACTGATGCTGCAGGAGGGAAAGGTAAATATGAGCTCATTTGCCAATGCAAACAGAACATTGTCCTTTTAACCAAAGTGAAGTGAAGCAGCTCAGTAATTGGTTCCTTTGGGAGATGAGAACAGATGTGACTAACTCAGAATCAGAATTACTTTATTGATCCCAAACTGGGAAATGATGGTGTTACCGCAGCTTTTTCTCCTAGCGAGCCAAGATAATTGCAGCAGGTAGATGATGGCATCGTCCACTCTCAGGTGTGGCTGGTAGACAAATTGAAGAGGATCAAGCAATGTCTTCACCTGCGGCCTGATGTGGGTCAAGATGAAGCCTCTCTAACATGATCATGACCTGAGATATTCGAGAGCTAGTGGTTGGTAGTTCTTCAGATCTGATGGCGACAATTTCTTAGGAACTGGAACTAAGCAGGTCTTCCACAGCCCCGGTATCCTCTCCTGGCTCAGACTCAGGTTGAACAGATCTGAAGTTGGGTACAGCCACGCTGTTATCCTGGATGTCTGGTTGCAGCCATGTCTCTGTGAAGCCCATAATGCTTCACTTCAGGTATTCCCACTGGTGCCGAACAAGTGCGTCAATTTCGTCCGTCTTGTTGCCCAGAGACCTCACGTTTCCCATAATCCCCACTCAGCAAAAAGCCATATGTCTGTGCTGTAGTGACCCATGTCTGTTCTGGTTTAATGAATATATCCACTCCTCTCATGTGTACTCATTTAGAATGGGGCCAGCTGATTGTTTAGGAATGCTTCATGCTTTCATGCAGGTCAGTGGGCATAGTCATCAGAAAACAAAACACACATTCAACAGTATAATCCACACAGACGTGCAGCTCACGCATGGAGATACACACTTGTGACCAACGCTGGGTCTTGAGTACACTCGTGTACAATCTGAGATCCGAACCTCAGGCAGATGTTTCTCCCTCTCTTTTGTTTTGACCCATCGTACAGTTTCGTCAGAGCAAATGAAGGACTGACCCTGAGAGGCAAGTTGAGCTAGAAGCTGTGGCACAGTGTCAGGGCAGACCATTAGCCCTCAGACTACTGTGTGAAACTTGGCAGAGCAGTTTCCTGTTCCTGACGGTCAGGCCGACTGACAACACAAGCTGTGATCTCCAGGAGGGCAAAGAAGTAGGGGGACAGGACCGAGATAGAGAGAGCAAGAAAAAGGAAGCAGAGGGAAGGAAGAATGAATTTCAGAGTGGGTGCTGTCTGACTTTTTCCAGAACCAACAATAAAGGAGACCTGGTGTCGCACTTTTTCCTTTCAATGTCAGTCTGGGACATCTATCAAGGAGATTTGCCTGTTTGCTGCTCAAAAAGGTCTCTTGTCTTGTCCTTGTAAGTGAAACACAAGTATGGCATTCATGTTGCCAACAGTAATTTGAAAACTAACCAGATAGGAAGGAGGGGGCGCCATAAATAGAAGTGGTGCATATCTGCTGCAGATAGCTGGAGCTAAAGACCTCAGTGACGCCAGTGGAAAGCAAACACATGGGCCACAGTGAAAATCCAGATGGGCTGAACTAAGATCTGGTGGAATTGAGGGGTCAGCTAAGTCCCCATCGTGCTTTAAATTTTGTTATGTTCATGTGTCATTATGACGTCCCTCCTAGCGCGTGGCTCTAACTCTTTATTGAAGGTCCCTTTAGATTGAGCAGTCCCAGGTTTTAATGAAACGCTGAAGAACAAATTCAGCTTTTGTTGGCCTTTATTTAAAAAGAGTCACCAGTAAAGCAACAAGCTTTAAAAGGTGGGGTAGGCATGATTCTGTTAAAGAAGCATCTTCTTTTGTGGTGTATATGCAAAAAAAGTTTTAATATCAGTCAACAGCCAATAGTTATTGATGACATTTGGAAATTGTGTAGTCAACATTTTAACATTTTTGACCGGTAAGTGTTTCTTGTCAAACGGGACCTGCTGCGTGTTGTAGCGCCGCTAAACTGTTGACCTCGGGTCCTGGACTATGTCACTTTATCCTCGTTGTAGAAGTCCTGCAAACATTGTGTTTGCTGGTAGTCTGTTGGCATCTACAGTAGCACCAATGCTTTTGACTTTCACGTTGACTGGGCCCCATTTGTAATTATCTGAAGTATTTATCTGCATTATATCTGAATTTAACAGGAACGATACGAGCGAGCAGGAGCGTCTGTTTGTGGGCGGGGCTTGCTGGAGCAGAAAGGGAGAGAGGAGGAGCTGAGGGGAAAACTGGTTGGAAGGGGTAGTGTTTACATTCAAGATTTCTACTAAAAACTGGCACTTCCTCAGATCCTGCCTACCCCACCTTTAAATACGTGGCTGTATTGTCTTGTAAATGATTGAACAAGGGGCAGAGTAGAGGAAAAGACAAGAGGTGAAATCAACTTTCCAGACGAGGGAAGATTCATAAAACTTTGGGATGGATGACAGAGCTGTATTTGCATCAAAATTGTCTCAATGGAACAGCAGAGACTGAACTTCTCAAGAAGCTGGAAAAAACATGTCCAGGGAGTATGCCGAAATTCAGTGAGAGTATAAACACATAAACTTTCATCTTATAATTCAAGAAAAATCCTTTAACACTCTTCATGTTTAGGGAAAACATCCTTTCACTGCATTCCAGTGCTTCTGCTTCCTTTTCCTTGCTGATGGACAAAAAGGGAGGATGAGTGAGAGAAGAAGAAAGACAGGGGCGCATGCACACATCTGTCTGTGTCGTATTTGTGTGTGTGTGTGTGTGTGTGTGTGTGTGTGTGTGTGTGTGTGTGTGTGTGTGTGTGTGTGTGTGTGAATTAGGTCATACGCGACAAAGCCAACCTTGAGCCTGAGGTTACATTAATGTGTGCTCCAGTAATTCATAAGGACTAAAAATATCCATTTACTTGTTTAACCGCTGGGATACACACACACACACACACACACACACACACACACACACACACACACACACACACACACACACACACACACACACACACACAGACCCTTAAGCAGATGAATGGTGATGACGGTTCTGTTTCAGAGACCTGAGTGGTAGGAGAGGATCTCTGTTAAACAGCTGGTGTTTTCAGTCTCTAATGAAGTTCATCCAGTGTGGCTGCTATTATTCTGCAATATTCCAGCAACAACGCAGACTTAGATTAACACTGTTACATAAAGGGTCTCTGTAAGAGCAAAGTTTGTGTTTTACAGCTACTGCAAACTCGCTACCAGGAACCACACACCAAATAGCTAAAAATCCATGTTTGAAATGAGCAGCAACTGAGCTGCACAACTATGATGTTGACCTTCTGTTGTTTCACCCCCAAGAAAGGTCATTAACTACTGAATAAGCACATCATAATGTTTTTTTTTCATACTCCTACAGACATAAGAAAGAGTCAAATCATCTCCAAAGTCCTAAAAAAACATCTAGATAATGATTACAACACCTTCAGGGGCTTATGCTGCGCTCCGGTTGTACTCGGAAGTCAGGATTTCTGGGCTCTGAGTCGGAAATTCATCTGGAATGCCCCCTGAAGTCGTATTATTGACTCGGAAAGTCAGATGATCCTAACCAACCCCGACTTGACGACACCGTCAGAATCCAAGATGGCAGCGCAGTGCATCAACAGTGAAGAGAAACAGTGAAAGCTATTATAATGTATAATTTATTAGCACTTTTGTCTTGTTTTTGTGAAATTAAATAAGTGGTATATGTTGTACTGCCCAACGTCTAAATGTGAACACGGTGCTATGGTGTTGGAAAGAGTAAAATACCATGTTATGCGTTGTATACAACTGGTATAGCTAACCACAACTATCAACAGCTGACAACAGCTAACGACAGCTCACAATGCCTGACAACCGACTTCTTTACTGGAACGCCATCAACTCGGGTGTAGCGTCATTCCCAGCTCCGACTTCCAAGGTAACTGGAACGCGGCATTACATTCATCTTGTGTTACTGTTCGGCCCTATTTGAATAAAAACAGTATCAGGGGCCTCATTTGTTTAAACAGAACATATAATCTACACTGAGAGTGCACCTCCCCCAAAACCCAGAAAAAATGTAGACACATTGTTCCTTTTATAATTCAAGATCAAGATGAGAATATGTGCAAGTTGTTCAGCCTCAAATCCCACCCTTTACACGCCCACATTCTGCCATATATGGTCAATTCAAATCACTTCATGAATGAGGTATGCATACAAATGAGCTTAAAGATCAAAGGCTCCTGCTATGAACCACAGCAAAGAGGAGAGTCCAGAAAATAAAGTCTCTGATACGGATGTCGAGTTTCTTCTGCATGAGGCAGAGAACAAAGAGCAAATAGACTCTTTTTAAAGCAGGAGGATCACAACTGCTGGACATGGGAAAATAGACTGACGCCATGTTGCTGCAGCATTAGTATCATTTATCATTATGCCTGAGAGTCACTGACATGTCTATTTATTTACAGGATCCACACAAATTTCTTAAAATTGCAAGCCTGCTTACGTCAATCAATGGACTCATTCTCAACGTGATTTTATTTGAACCAAACCTGAAGTTATAGTTTGTGGGCTATTATTTGAGACTAAGCATTTACATTTAGAGGACTTAAAGGTACGCTTTTATCTCTTCATGACATGTTGGAGAAGGCCCACTGCAACCACATGTGTAGATAATCTGTTTTATTGACAATTAGTGGCACTGAATGTGACAAAATCAACATAATCTGACTTTATTTCAACCCTAATCACCTGCAACAACAATATCTCCTGCCCAAAAGCTTTAAGATTGTATTAAGCAACCATAAATAATTGTATTTTTCTGTCCTTTTTCTGGTCAGAAACGATGGCGGCTGCGTTGGACATTGTACAGAAAGGTTTAGATTGTAGCATATTATGACAGGACCTTCAGCACTGTATGGAGACCTGAAGAGAAAACTGGAATCCCTGAGGAGATCTAAATGTAGAGCGGTCAGATGAATGCAGTGCAATTAGCAGCTTGCAGTAAGGAATGTTTCTTTCTTTTGAAGGGGTTCACCTCCTTTGTAGTGCTAACAGCATGGATACATTACAACTATTCAGCTTGGAAACCGTGAGGAGCACCATGAAGCCTTTTTGTGTAAACTTGAAAAACAAATGTAGCATTTTATTTATGGTTGCTTGGCAGCTATCAATTAAATTCTGCAGACACTGTCAAATCAATACCTCTGCGTAGTGAAATTTGCAAAGCAAAGGGGTAGGATTCAATACAAACCCATTTATTAGGTTGAAGCTTATAGACTTTATATTACATTATTTTTTATTACATACATATTACATTTTTCAAGCACCAAATGTTCCCTTTGAACTTGGAAAATCCACCTTAAGTTTTTGTGCCGGGGGACCTCTATGAATTTCAAGACTTAAATACAGCTTGATGATGATAAATAAACTCAACTTGCCTTGCGTTTTGATGTCCCTCCTCCATAACAGACACTTTCTCTGGGCCAGCTAACTCTTTTTTCCTTCACTTTTCCTTCCACTTATCTTGACATCAGCTCTTTTTCGATGGCAGTTCTGTCCCAGAGTCCCAATTAAAGCATGGAAATACATCAAATATCAAGCATTCCTTTGTTTTTTAAAATGGAAACTTTAAAACTAAACTTTATTTGCCGCACTTAGCGTAGTATGGCTGACATCTTGAGTCATGTCCTACCTCATAAATCTAGTTGAATTTTCAGCTTGGTACACACAAACTCTTTTGAAGATATTTGGACTTTGAGCTGCTAATTGCTCCTCACTGCTCACCAGCTAGTTTCAGACTTTTGCAGCCCTTTGATGCCAAGTGGTGATTTCATTACAGCTTTCTTCCTCTTCAACCAGCCACCTGCTGCTCTTGCTGCTGTAAGAAACCATGTCTGTAAAAGCTAAACTGATGTGCTGAGACACCAAGAGTCACAAAAGATGCTAAAAGAAGGCACAGATAACCCAGTGGTTCAGGGGCCTCGTAAAGAGGGTGAGTACGCACAAAAATGTAGTGTATGTTCTTTTTCACACCTAAGTTTAGATGTATCAATTGTAAATGATCGTGGAAATGTGCAGAGCCTCACGCAAACTTCATGGTTGCCATATGCACGTTTCTACAGCCGTTGACCCTTTGGCGACACTTAAGAGGTGAAAGTGCAATAATAAATAAACGTGAAAACAGTTAGTCCTCAAACTGAGTGATGTGCCCAACAGAGATACAACTCTGGTGAACAATTAACACAACACATGTCTACAGGAATATGAGTGGATATAAGAGCATGTGCAAAGTGGTGCAAACGATAAAAACAATGGCTGCTTTAGAGGACATTGTAAATGGTGCAATTCGAAGAGAGTGCGTGTTCAGAGACAGAGAAGATTAATGTCATGTCAGTCATGTTTTGGCTACACTTTTGTGGTGGGCAGCCATCCTCTGATCCACATCCACTTTGATGTCAGACCACTTCTTTTTTAGTTCTGCTTGTGTGCGCTTCTCTGACCCCACCACATTGACAGCCCAAAACCATAGACTGTATATACTCCAGACAACTTGGTTCCACCTTCCGCCTTTATACAAATCTGAAGCCGAATCGCTCTCCGTATGTCTGAGATTTTCCCCATTTTCTGGAACCGCCACTTGTGCAGTAGCATTATACACATTCGGCGGGAGAGTTGCGGTTATGACGCTCGGTTCAAACAGCGTGTCCCCCGGGTGAGCTACGCAATCTTCATATGCCCATAGGCTGTATCAAGTGTCAATCATGGAAAACATGAACCCACTAATAACTTTTAAAAATGGAGCTGTACAGAAAAAAGAGGACTTGAGCACAAACCAGTCTTACAATAACTACATGTCAACATTGTAAGCAGAGGGGAGAAAAATATATATTCTGTGTAATAAATTTCTAAAGTTTGTCCACAGCCCCATAGGGATTGCTGGAGGAGGCGGGGTTTATGACCTATACTACAGCTGGTCACCAGAGGGGCCAGGTACTCCAACTTGCCCTCTCAATTCCACATTGATTGGGATAAACAATGAGCTTGGATTCATGCATGCGCACAGATTCACACAACTACGCCATGTTTCAGTAGGAAATACATGCAAGTCTTTGTACATGAGGCCCCGGGTGAACCCCAGATATGCAGGCAATATTTTGAAACCATCTTGTGGCCTCGCTCTATGCCTATCCCCTTTCTCCTCCCTGTCGATAAATCTTAAAGAAAAGGTGCTGAAAGGGTTTGTGTCTGAGTGACACTGCTCTCTGTGGAAGTACCAGCTGAACCTTTCAAGTGACACATTCATCTGCCCCAGCCTTCAGACAGATCCTTTTTCATTAGACTGATTTATGGTTCAGAGAAGGTCATAAAACCTCAATAACCATAAGGGCCTGTTCATTAGCTGAGTTTGTGGATGATCCACAACACACACAGCCTTATGTAACCTGGTTAGATCCCTGTCAGATTATATACTCATGAACTCCAAACAAAGCTTGGAAAGTAAATTTCAGCTCAGCTGTCAGATTGTTGCCTTACACAACACCGTCTGACTGAGGAGCCTCTTTGGAGCTTCAGTCCTTATTCTCTTTAAACAGAATCTTTCAGACATGCAAGTTGTCTCCACCTTTCCAAATAATGATGATTAATTCAGTCAGAAATCTCTTTACCTCAAAAAAAGAGGCTCATTATCTTACATCTCTGTCTCTCAGCCTGCAGGACTTTTATTCTGCTCTTGGACACAATGAGGGATTTCCAGGCATGCATGGACAGTAAAATAAACTCTGTTAATACACAAACTAAAGCATATTAGTCAGCTATTTCAATTCGCTGAACAAATCATGTGCTTCACATTCTTGCCCACTATAGAAGACTCTGATAATCTCCTGTACATTCACTCACAGTGTTGCCAACTATGTGACTGAGGCTGTAAGAGTCAAATGCAGTGATATTTGTTTTAGTGTGGTAGTGGAGAAACATTTGTTTGGTGTGTGTTTCCACTGTGGTCTGACTGCATCTGGGACCACTGTGAAATTTACTACCTATGAGTGCTTTGGGACGAGGGAGGGGCTCACAGTAGCACCTGCTGCTCATTGAGGACAGTAACTGCAGAGTGAAATGTGCTTTTGCGTCAGAGTCTTGGAAAAAGGTCTTAGATTTGTCGCTAGTCACAACAAAAAAAGAAAGAAAGAAAAAAAAAGGTCACAAAAGACGATTGTGAAAGTCACCAGGTTTAGTGAGAAGGTTGTCAAGTTGGTAACACCGCTCGATCGGTTCGTAGGCAAGCTGACAAATAGAAGCTGTTACACTGACTTCCTCACGAGCAAAATATGGACCAATCAACAAAACCACCAGAAGTAAACAAGCCGTAATCTTTGTGGTGGCATCTGTTCTAAACATCTACACGTTTTGATGCAAACTGTGATCAATTTTCTACTTTGCCTCAAACATAACTTTACTTTTGACAACAATTCAGCTGGCCTGTGACACAACCTGTGGGGTTCCAGAGACTTTGTCAACTGTGACACACTTGAACTTTGTTAACATTACCTGAAGCACACATCTTAATTTTATAAAGAGTCTACACTTAACAGAGAGGCTGAGGTTTTAACATTTATTTTGCCCCTCACTCAATGACTCCTTGATCAGAAGTTTTCCTTCAATGCCAGGGGAAGAATAAAACGGTGCCTCTCAGAGTAATGGCTTTGCAAACATTGCACGTTGCTGTCTTACTTTGTGACATTTCAACTGTAGAATATTTCCACACAGCAGACATGTTGTTTGGAAAAGATTGCTAGCCCTCGTGCTCTTCAATGCTAGCCTGATAGCTTCGTGACTACAAACTGCGGAATGGATTTCCTGAAGGGAGGTGTGTTTCATCTCTGTGTCACATTAACACGCTTCCGCTCAGGAAATCCATTTCGCAGTTTCCAGCCAGCAAGAATCACTTGTACAATTGAATTACATTGTTATCAGAACCTGTTATCGATACTGGATGGGATCGGCCCCATCCCTAACTGGGACATGCATGTTTTTGCCTGTTTTCTATTAGGTAGAGATAAATAACACGTGGCCTCATATTTTATTTTCTTTCTATCTATCTATCTATCTATCTATCTATCTATCTATCTATCTATCTATCTATCTATCTATCTATCTATCTATCTATCTATCTATCTATCTATTTATTGAGCAATCAGGGTGACATTACATGTTTAGACCAGGTTCCAATGCAAACCAACTTGGTGAAGTTGTTGCACACACTGCACTGGAGATTTGCAAGGGGCTGTAGCTGTGCAGCAGGTTTCCATGAGAGTCATAAAAGTTAGTGAGTTTTTACATGACAGATTCTCCAGACTGACAAAGCGAGTCGATCTGTATCTCTGCTTATCAGCAGTGCTGCCTGTGTTTGAGAATTCAGCTGAGACCCGATCGTGTGGAAATGCTTATTATTTTCAAAAAGAACGAGAATGCAGAAAACCGAACGCTGAGTCTTATAAATCTTCTGTTCAGTTCTCTTGTTGCAGCAGTTTCACATTTCGTCGTTTGATCTGTATATCTTTATTTGTGTTACTATCTTTTTGTCCACTCGTCCTCGGGGTAACACTCACTTCTCCTCCAATTTTCCCCGATCACTTAAAGAGAAGCTTCAATAATGAAGCTATCCCTTGCAGCAAAGTTGGCCACAGTGTTGACAGCAACAATAAATCCCTCTGTGTGTCTGTCTACATGTCACCCCCTGCCCCGGTGTGAACAGTGGGCCTACTGTGTCCTGTGGCTGTAAGTGAATAACAACTGTGGAGGGGTCAACATCTGACTGCTCCATTGTAACACGGGCCACCATGGTTTGTGCAACAGGCCACACATGGCGTGGAGGTTGTTTTTGCCTGAAGATCAAGTGTCGATCATGTGCATATTTTACAACAATGTGTAAATCGTATGCATTTTTTTTTTCGTGTCATGAGCTTCAATCACATGTAGCTTCATCTGCTTCCTGCTGCTCCTCCAGTTGGATGGTAGAAGATGACTGTAGGCTTTCATTGAAAAATACTCTCTTTTTAAATTACTAACTTATTTGACGAGGAAGGATTTCTGAGGATACTCTAAGCGTGTTTTGTTGAATGAAAAGCCGGGTTAGAGATCTTATCATTGATGCAGCAGTTATTTTATCTTTCCCAGCAATGTTTTACTCACAGTGTTGTTTTACAAGAATCTGTTTTTTGCACACATCACAACAAGATGCCAGATGGTTTTTTTTTCTGCTTGGAACAAATTTTTTGCTTGGATGACCAGCAATCTCTCCCTGCACCAGTGGCGAGCGGTGACCTTTTACTGTGGTCATTCTGAAGTGTCAACCCCATGCAAGCGCCGAAAATTTTGGAGTATAAATTCATTAATTACAAACACGTAACATGGTTTATTACGACTGTATCAACTCAATTTTGGTAGACACTCTCACACTCACACTTGCCTCATGTTACCAACAACAATGTAGTGGAATTTACAGCGTATCGGCCGGCTCAATGAAGGCGGAAATATTCAAGACTGACACGGGTTGATGCACACACGTACATTAATGCAACCAGCTCCATGGTCAGACAAATGACAGAATCACATGCCTACAACATTACCGACAACATGTTGGAATTGACAGTATTCAAATAGGCTTTCACCTATGAAGTGGACTCAAGCCGGGTTCAGCTGCGTTCGAGCAGAGCGGGAAAGAGGAAAAGTGTCCCAGAGCAGCAGCAAGGAGTGAGGATTTTCAGCACCATGGATATGTTAACTACTATGATAACTACTTCAGGAGTAGGCCGTCCTCTTGAAATTATATTCTTCTTTTCCTCAAAACTTCGGCACTGAACGCAAAGACTGAGTTGAATGAATCTTTTCATTCATTTTGACTGGGCTAAGTGGTGATGAAATGAACCACTGACTGTTTCCCACTGAACAAATCAAACAAGCCAGTTATGCACAGATAGGTTCCTTCACTGACAGCATTTTTGCTCTTCAAAATGTTAATCTACAGTGAACACAGCCTCTAGCACTAACTGAACTATTCGGTATCACAGTGCGAATGCGCAAAACAAGCTGCTAGTTTTCCAGCTTTTCGCAAGCAAAACGGGACGGATTAGGCAGGGATTTAAGACCAAAACAGTAGAACTAAGTTATTGTATAATTCAAAACACTGACAGATGAATATTTTCAATGATTTTTATTAAGGGGCTTGGGCATGGACTGCATTTATAGCTCATTACGACTGCTCGCCCCTGCCCTGCACCAAAACCTCACATGACTGATAAGGTTGTTTCCCCACACAGCGCTGTTATGTGTAGACACAGTACCTCTGAGTGAGACATCTCAGCTCAGAAATCTTCATCCGCCATGTCTAGATCTGTGTGCCTCAGTTTTTGGATCTCCTGTTTTTGATGTACCTGGAGGAACTCAGCACTCTGATCCTACGCCCAAACCACAATATTTAGATTTAACGTTCTCCCAGCATGTCATCCATTCATGCATCTAGCCACAGCCCCGAATCCATGACGATCAGTAAGTGTCGGCAATCATACTTGGTTCACTATTCTGTTGCGACTCACACGGCTCCTCACAAGAGTCTGTTGACCTGCTCTGAGCTGACATCAAACAAGATACTTGAAATTCCAAGACATAAAAAAAAAACCTCCTCCATACTTGACTGTAGACTGCCAGAGATCAGGAGATTACAGTCTTATGCAACTTGCAGAGCAACATCAGCCAAAAATGTGGAAGTTATCCCGCACAGCCTTTGGCACTCGGGGGGGTATGGCGAGTAAACAGCATCGCCAAATGTTTCAGTGGGATGCACTTTCACCTTTTTTCCCCCCATATTTCTTTAATTCATGTGGAATAATGATGATAAAATGAGGAATAAGGAAACTTGTCTTTGCAGAGATGAAGTCTCAGTAACACCCTGCAGCTACCTCCTACTTCTATGTTTGTTTCATCAAACCTACACAGAGAAAAAAAGGAGAGGAGCACCAAGCTCTGACAGAATCACAACTTAGTCTCAGGTGCTAATATCCAGTATATAAAAGCTCTGATTAAATATTTGCTCACTGAATATAAACCATACGCAAGTCAACTCCCCCTCCACCTTTCTGCACCTGCAGGGTAACAGAGATCTGCAGAGACTGCAGGATTTATCAGTTTTCATGCTTTAACTAGGCAGATGCAGAGATAGTTCTGCTTGTTGTACCTCGTACATTTAAAAGACATAATCCACACTTTGTGCTGAGAGTAGATCAGCTTGTGCATTTGTTTGTAGATGCTCTGAAGTTTGCACATCTTTTTTTAAGCATGCAAACCTTTTGCAGATCCTTCATAGCTCTGCCCGCATATCCAGTCAAAAAAGCAGGGGGTCATCTGAAGGGAAATCATTGACCGACTTTGTGTTGAATGCAGAAACACACTCTCCACTCTACATCAAAGATGAGGTATAAATAGATCCTCACAACGTACTGAGAGTGGTTGTGAATGAATTCGTATTTCAACTTCCTGTATGTTGTCACCTTTCAATGATGTTTCATGATGCATGCTGCTGACCTCTTGGCCAGGTCACCCTTGAGAAAGAGTTCGTGATCTCAACGGGTTTTTATCTGGTTCAATAAAGGTTAAAAAGAAAAGATTGAACTCCATGTTGTCTCTGCCTTGACTTTAAGATTTCTGGTGACATTTGAAGTTGTCTTAAAGACACGGATGATCCACAGAAAAGCACAGGCATGTGTCACTGCAGCAAGATGGAGCCTGAAACTATAACCTATTTAGGTTCGACTGTTCGACAAGTCTTTGGTGGTGCATCTTCTTTCAATTTAGGCTGTCACCTTGCTAAATGCAACCTCCAAAGACAGATATTTAAATGGGTGACCTGGTTGTTTTTAAATAAAGTGATGAAAATGTATTAGGGCTTATTTATGCTCGCCATAGCCTACATATTAAAATGTACACATCCATTTCAAACGATGGTTCCGTCACTGCCCACATACTTCCATGCATCCTTTGCGTTAGCATGGATGTTAATCATTACATCTATAAGGAGGCAGGCTGGAGTCAAAAGTTTCTGACAACAACAAACAAAAAGAAACATAGCGACTGTGGAGGCCCTAGTGATAATGTATATTTTGAATAGGAGACAGAAACTGAGGCAGCGTTGGAGAAGGCGGTGGACGGTCAGGCCACTAAATGCCTCGCGATTGGAGGACGGAGAATTGTTGTCTCTCGTAGTACCGATGAGAGAAATTGATGATGATCTTTAAAAAGACCGGCCACTGTCTTCTTCATTTCTCTCTCCAGATGCATATCGGGTAGAGACAGTTGATCCGTCTGACCCGCATTTGTAAACTTCATGCAGAAATACAGACAAAAAGAACGCAAAGCACGGACGGAGAGCTCTGTCCGTATCCAGATTCTTATGTAACGTTGAGTGTAAATAACCCTTTAGTGGTCATTGTTTTTTATTGGGCCACTAGGATGAAGAAGAAAACTAAAGTTATAGAATATCTCATTGCCAGGCCGAGTCCTGTTTTTCATCCTGGTCTTCAGTCATCAATATATGGACATCCTACATTTAAAGGTTAACTGTTCATTAGAGAACAAGCAAGGCGTCCCTCCTGATTTAGCCATGAATAAGTTAAGAATATGGGAAAGAGTGAACAAAGATATGAAAAGGTTAAGGTGTTATTAAAAAGAGAGAAAAGACGGGGATGAAAGGAGAAGTCGGGAGACAAAAACAAAAGGAGTGTGAGGGAATTTTAGGCAAAGACAGCAGCAGCAGCGGCAGCAGCAGCACAGACTGTTCTTATCCTCACTCGATCTTATGGATGTCTGTTTATTGTGACTAAAGACATGAAATAACTCCGGGGAGGCTCAAAGGGCACTCTGCAAAATTAGGTCAGGGAACTTCCTGCAGACAGGAAGAAATATTTAATTCAGTCACAGACTATTGAACTGAAGTAAGAAACACCACCAGTGTCTACATAACATCCTAGCCTTATTTTTCCATTCGCACATCTGTAGACCAAGCCCCAGATCATGAGCGTTCATCTTATACCATCCCTGCTTGTTCTCTTCTTCCAGCAGCAGCAATGGTGTCTGTATGTCTCCTCCTGTATGAGAGTTGAACTGATCTAAAATAGAGCGGTCATTAACATCATTCAAAACAACTGTATCATTGCAATATTTATGGAAAACAACATTATCAGTCATAGTAAGGTGTGATGAACAGCTTCATAAACCAGCTAATGAGCACAAGTAACATTCATACATGAAGAGCTGATCAAGCCTCACATCGTTCGCAATTTAGCGGGAAAAAATAAGGTCTGAGTATGATTTACATTCAATCATGAAATAAGCTTTTGGGATTGCTGTTAAAGTCTATAGTCCATTCATGTTTTATCTGTTATGTTACTTATGTACATCACTGTCCTGTCACAAAAACTAATTCAGATAAATCAGATTTGACTTCAGATGCATGTTTACTGGTGTTCCAAGTTTTCACTATATAGTTAGAGATACTGTAGATTGCTTTTAAAGGAAAAAATAAGTTGTTTTTTAGCATTATGTAAATCATTTCATAATAAACAAATATCAGAGTTATATCATGAAATCAATATTTTGCTTCAGGTTATCAGAGTTTCATTCTGGCCCTTGCCTATTTGTTTGATTTTAACGCTGTAATGTCCCATAAGACTCAAAACTACATGTCACCTTTGGCACAGCGGTAAACATTTCCTGCATGTTTAAGAACTTTTATACATCAGGCTCCAGGGCTGCAACATCCAGCTACAGCCCTGGAGCCAAGAGAGTGGAGAAAGCTCCAGCCATCTGAAGGTCGTCAACTTTGAAAGCAGTGACTCAGATTCTTTTAGCCATGCAGGACTTGGACTGATTGTTCCTGCTTGTATCTTTGTGTCTTTCTTCTTTCACTGGACTGAAGCACAATGAACACAAGAGAAAGTTTTTTTTTTTTTTTACATAGCAAAGAGGTTTCTTTAGTAAGAGAGTATTTGAAATAGTTGAAATCACTGAGAGATCTCTATAGAAACTAGAATATCCTCTTTTGTCATATGGAAGCATGCACAGTCTTTAGGAGATCTGTGGTTGTGTATTAATATTATCTTGTATCCAGTGTCCGGTAGGAACGCCGGTACGCAACGCCATTACTTTATTCAGTAACTAATTATGTAACGCATTGGTTTTTTTTTAATTCAGTAATTCTGTTTCCGTAACCAAACGCTGCGTTACTCCGTTCCTTTTGGAGAGGTTTGACAATGGCACACAGTTCCGTTTACATTTTAGCGATCAATAAAGTTTAATTGAATTAGAAAAACAAAGCACTTGTCACCTTCTAACATCACACTCATAATCAAACACACGCCACGAGGAGGACTGGACAGGTCAGGACACGGCATGATGGCGAGTAAGAAGGAAAAGACAAGTTTCTCCTCATAGAGATACTCACATTATTTTCAACTCAAGAGCAAAGGGAAAAACATTATTTCACATCAACATGTACGGTGAACAGCAGCAACAGCAATCTACTGAAGCAGCTAGAGAAGCAGCATCGACAAAGTTGGTAGCTAACGCAGCATCTGAGACCGAGAGTCACAGCAGCGAGCACACACCCACTCCACCCAAGCAGCAGTTGTTGGAGTTCGAAAGACAGACCCATAGCCAACTTGATAAAACAAAAGCATGGTATGTTTAATTGTTTATTTGGATCTCTTTTAGCTCTATCAGGCTATTACTCCAAGAGTCCAATGGTGAAATTTTGTGTTAGTGTCAAGGTTTGTGTTGGTGCACAACTGATCATATTGCTTGGATAATTAGATACAAATGATGTAGATGCGAATGAATTGAAACGGTTGTTTTAATCAACAGTTTGTTTTATTTAACATCAGTGCAGAACTGTAATGACGGCTAGAGAGGAACTCAATCAATCCACCTTTATGTAATCGGAGCATTGGAAGAACGTTTTATGGTAACTAAATTTCTCAGTAACTTTCAGTAACTAGCACATCACTGCTTGTATCCTACTAGATTGCACACATGGATTCACTTCTAGTTAAAGTTGTCCACGTGTCACTAACACCTGCATCGCACCATTCTGTGTCCTGGAGATGACAATGGACTGTGGTTAATGATAGTGCACAATTAGTGTTTTGTCTGGCCACTCACACGTCATGTCTCTGTTTTCCAAGCCCATCAGGGGTCACTGAATCTTGTTTCAATGGAGGGAAACCAAAGTGGAGGTTCTCATCAATTATTTAACTTTGCACAGAGAGTACTCCCTGGCTATTACAGTAACACACACATTATGTCAGAAGCACAAAAACAAAGAGACATTTTCACTTGAATGTAAGGAACATGCATCAGGGTTTCAGAGACCTTTACAGCTGTCAGACTGCATCACGTCTCATTTTGTGTGCGAATATTCTGATGCATTTGTCGGGACTTCTCCTTTAGGGTTTTGGCCTCTGGGCCTGCTTCCGACAGGAGCTGCTCTGTGACTCAACCAACCTCACACTCCCTGCACACAGCACTTTGTACATTTCCCAAGGTGGCTTCTGCCTGTGTCATGTGTGCAAACCAACCTCTAATCGGCCGTTACAGCTGCAGCACGAGCAACCTGGGAGAAAATGGGCCTATAAATAATTAAAGCACACACAAACATAGGACTGATTGTAACAAATCTAAGAAAGCACTCTGGCTAGTCTTCTGGTCAGGGAAGGAAGTCCTGGTTGCTGATTCATCGATGTCTGTCCCTCATACAGTACCTGCTTCACATTCATGTCCCTCCTATGTTCCCTGAAAACTGCACACACATCTATATAAAGATTTGGCAGCTTCAGATAGGGTTGGATAATTTTAAACAAGCTGGATAGCTCATCTGTGAATGTACCACCCGCCCACCTGCGAACAGCTTTTAAAGCATATGGGGTGCTAGAAGGGAAAGCATGCCAGCAACACTTTAGGCTCTTTAGGTTTTATCTATGACTCTGGACACTGTAGATGGAGATGCACGGGGGAGCTGCTGGTGAAGGAACTCTAGTGTGTCTTTCTATCACTTATCAAGCTGTGATATTTTACTGGAGATAATTTTGTCAATGAATATGTGAACAATAAATATTCATTTACATGTTTGTTTTTCAGGCTAATATCGAGAGGATAAGACAAGTTAATGAACTGACAGCAAAACTCTCTGATTATAATGCCGTCATGAATAATAATGAGTCAAAGCATTTGCTGTTCGCTAAACAACCGAATGCTCATCACGCCTTGATTTCACCTGCTTCATGGGAGAAAAAAACACGATGAATCTGAAAGACGATGAGAGCGAGAGTCTGCCCAATTAAAGAACAATGAGGTGTTTTATTAACTAGACCTGCATGTTTAACTTGGATACTTCCTGCAGTCTTTCTCAGGTGAGTCACTTCTAACTTGTCTGTCAGCTGATTTATCAAGGTTTAGTTTTAGCCTGCTTTCTGATCTCTGCAGAGGATGGTAAACCAGAGCAAAGGATCGACATGCTGTTATCCTACTTAGGGTGCTGTTAAAAGACAACAGGGGGCACAGTTGTTCTGCTCGAGGACTGGACTTGAGAACCACTGAGTTATACCAACTTTAGTAACGACCGCACGGTAGCAATACACAGCATTCTACCACTCCATGTGCAAACCTCAACCAAAAGCCACTCTATCGCCACAAATAATACTCAGAACAGCACCTAACTTCATCAACAGTACATATAGGGTCCCAGCCATAGTACTAGCCATCAAACATCTTTTAGCTTTGCCTGATTTCTGTAGAAAAGAGATCAGACACAACTCACCTACTCTCTTCCAGCAGCCACTTGTTTGTGGGGATTCGATCACTGAGTGCAGAGGATCATTTCCATGAAGTGATAATCATCATAATTATGATTTTGCGCTGCAGACGCATTAGTTCTTTGCCACGGCCTGATTGCATTTCCATGAAGTAATAATCCTAAATGTTCTCCCTTGAGCTGCGAAACTCCGCTGTACTCAGTGATCGACTTATCAGGGCTCCCCCACAAACGAGCGGCTGCTGGAGGAGAGTGGGTGAGTTGTGTTTGGTCTCTTTGCTAAAGAAATCAGGCAAAGCTCAAAAGATGTTTGATGGCAAGTACTGTGGCTGGGACCCTATATGTACAGTTGATGAAGTTAGGTGCTGTTCTGAGCATTATCTGTGGCTATAGAGTGACTTTTTGGTTGAGGTTTGCGCATGGAGATGTAGACCGCTGTGTATTGCTATTGTGCGGTCGTTACTAAAGTTGGTATAACTAGAGAAGCAAGCAGTCAGCAATATTCATCTCTCTAGGGAGTCTAACTCGGTGTTACGGTGTGTTTGACCCTAAATTAAATTTATGCCAGAATATCCCTTTAACGTAGGATGACCAATCCTCCACATGTTGGCTGACGTGCATTAAAACAAAAATACCTACTAATTTACAATTCAAGAGCCAAGCCATGAATATACAGAGTCAGACCTAATGACAGTCAAATGTCTTGCTTCAATGAAAACTGATTTCTCAAACATGTGAAAAGTTATGAGCTGTTCAGCTGAAACAATAGTAAGAAGAGAGCATGCGAAACTAAATGTCAAAAGTAACAGACCGGCTTAAATGGTGACGACTGAACACTGGTAACTCCTTTCAGTGTGTACTCTACTAACCTCTGCTTTACTTTGGGTTTATTCCAGTTAATTTAACTGTGCACTGGCCTGTGAACAAGCACCACCCTACGAAAATAGAGCAGACTGAGGGTACATAGTTGGATGTGTGTTATTTGCACTGAAAAAGTAACAGGTGGAAGGTAACAAGAACAGAAAGGGAACACAATGTTCCTTGTTCCGAGTGAAAATTTCACATCTTGTCGTTCCAAATGGCAACAAAAAGAGGAAAACAGCCGTGCCTACAAAGTATATAAATTTAGTCGGCTGTGAATCTCACTCTTAAGTTTGCCAACAGCGTCAGATTGTAATCTCTCACACAAAAACACTTGAGCTCGGAGCCAACATTTCTAGTGTGGGTGTTTTTGCTGTTGTTTGAGGAACCTCTTCAAAACGCAGCCATGGTAGTGTAACCTGTACACACAGCGAGGACCGGGAAAAGACGGATTTATCTTTGCCTCCTCAAGCATTTAACCTGTCAGTGTTTCTTTACAGCAGCCTGAGAGCTTTAAGCATTTTCACCTCCAACTGTCTTCTGTTTGATGGCTTTGACCGAGCGTTCGCCCGTGTTTGTTCATCTGTGAGCCGTGCGCTGTTTAGAGCTGGTGCTGGCTTATTGCTGCAGAATATGGTAGAGGCTATCTTCATATTATCATGGCTGAGTGGGCCTGGGGGCTGTGTGATGAATCAGGGACTAAATAATAAGCTGCTTATGTAAACATGGCCATTGTGCCCCAGCTGCAGGATGCTACTATAAATGATTGCTGTTATGGACACAAATGTACAGTAAGAACTATTCTCAGCTGCAAACGGCCAGGTGCATTAAAATGACACATCTGTTATCATATGCATAGATTCTAACAATGGTTGAGTACAAAATTTAAATTGTACTTCTATTGCTTTTTGTTTCATGATGTGCCAAATGTTTTTTTATGGCTGAGCACCCAGACTCTTTGTCTCTGGAAAAGGTTTCAGTTAGAAGATGCAAAAAGTTATGGTCATACACATTGTAACATCGAGTTAGACACCCCCTCCAGAGATGAATGTTGCCGACTACTTGCTTCTCTAGTTAAACCAACTTTAGTAACCACCGCACAATAGCAATACACAGCAGTCTACCACTCCATGTGCAAACCTCAACCATAAAGCCACTCTATAGTCACAAATAATGCTCAGAACAGCACCTAACTTCATCAACAGTACATATAGGGTCCCAGCCACAGTAGTAGCATCAAACTCTTTTTAGCTTTGATTGGTTTCTTTAGCAAAGAGAACAAACACAACTCACCCACTGTCCTCCAACAGCCGCTTGTTTGTTGGGGAGCCCTGATGAGTCGATCACCAAGTGCAGCAGAAAATCTATGATCATTACTTCATGGAAATACATTCGAAGCGAGATGCTAAAGCAGAAGAACTACCGCGTCTGCTGTGCACATACAAGATACACAAGAATTCTGACTGCATTTCCATGAAGTAATAATCATAAATGTTCTTCTTTGAGCTGCAAAAGGCGGCTGCACTTGGTGATTGACTCGTCAGGGCTCCCTCACAAACAATATCCGTGTATGCAGAGATGTAGCTTTTGAACTGTGCACTGATAACAAGCCAGGCAGTCCCTTTCCTGCTTCAGAACAGAAGATTCCGCATCCCTGGCTTGTACAGAAAATATCATGTTTTGATCTGTAAGACCAAAGGACAGTTTTTTCCTCTTCCTGTCAGTCTATCTCAAATGGCTCTGGGCTCACAGAAGTCACTGATGTTTCTGCATCATGTAAAATTGTGTTTTCCTCTTTGAATTCTGCAGTTTCAATCTGCTATTGATGGAGTGATAAATTGTGTCTATAAACAGAAGACTTTGGAAGTGATCTCTAGCCCATGCAGCGGTTTCGACTCCAGTCTTGTCTGTCTTAAATGCAAGAGCCATCCATTTTCACAGATTCTCTGAATCTTCTCCTAAAAATTTTATGCTGCTGTTGATGAAATCCCAGAATCTTTGACCTAAAGCCGAAACGAACTCAAGTTCTGCAGCAGGACAATGATCCAAAACACATCAGCAAGTCCACCTCTGAATGGCTGCGGATAAACAAAATGAAGACTAGGAGTAGCCAAGTCAGAGTCCTGACCTGAATCCTATTGAGATGCTGTGGCATGACCTTTAAGAGGTGGTTCATGCTCGAAAACCCTCCAATGTGGCTAAATTACAACAATTATGCAATGATGAGTGGGCCAAAATTCCTCCACAGCACTGTAAGAGACTCATTGCAAGTTATCACTAATGCTTGATTGCAGTTGTTGCTGCCAAGGGTGGCCAAACGAGTTCGTAAGTTTAGGGGGCATTTACTCTTTCACTCGGGGTCGTGTAGGTTTGTAAAATTTTCCCCCTTAATAATAAAAACCTTCATTTAAAAACTGCATTTTGTGTTCACTTGTGTTGTCTTTGACTAAAATTTAATTTTTTTGATGATCTGAAATATTTAAGTGTGACAAACATGCAAAAAAATAAGAAATCAGGAAGGGGGCAAACACTTTTTCACACCACTGTAAATGGTATCAAGAGTGAAGATTCTGACCCGTTTGAAGTGGAAAATATTCAGCACTATGATGGTCATTAGTTTGGGGAATAAAGCCAGCATACATAGAGAACAAGCTTCCTGTCTGTATTTACTGTGACTTCCAAATCCACTGATGTAATACTCTTGACCGAACAATGTCACTATTGAAGTTTGTGCAACAAAATCCTATTTATCTAATTTCATTTGATGTACCTGCAGACTCTGAGCATTAAGCAGTTCCAGTTTCACTCTCTAAGCCTTCATTGTTTCTCTTGAGCTGGCTGCTTTTTATTACCATGATATCTGAAGAGAATTTACTCCTTTATTGCCCTTTTTCCAATTATTGCTTCTTTATTTGAGACAGAAGAAGCACATTCAGCATCTTATTTTCATCCATTCTGACTGATAAATCTTGTACCAGCTGCAATAATTGTTGTGAACTCAGTGAATGGTTGCTAAACTGTGTCCTGCTGCCAGCTAATGGCTTCACATATGACATCATGCAAAAAAGGCTGAGGCTTACACTGCGTGTCTCCAGTAGGGATGGGTGATAAAATATTGTTCACAATATATCGTCAGAAAATTCCTCCATGATAAATATTTGCCATCTCATGATAAATACAATAAATGCAAATTGATGACGTAAGTGCGAGTGATGGACTGGCAGCCATAGTCCACAAAGAGCAGAATAACAAACAAAAATGGCCGAATGTAATGAAGAAGATGTTTCTGAGCAGCTTGTTACTGAACGAGGGATTTCCTTCAAGATTGGAGCTTAGATGAGTGCAATTAGGTCTGTCTGACATTGAAAAGTGGATCTGCTGTTGTTCACTCTGTGCAATAAGAGTTTTCAACAAATGTTGAAACTGTTTTCACATTTAAAACTTGTTTGGTGTCATTGGTTTTCTCTATAACCTACCATTTAAACTTGTGGGTAAGTATCTTATTCGACTACTCCAACTGGTGTTCTCAAGACAAAATGAGTCAAAATATTTGGATTGGAATTATAATATTTTTTATCGGGACTTTTATCGTTATTGTTTTTGCAAAAATTCTTATCATGATAAATTTTTTAGCCCATATTGCCCATCACTTGTCTCCAGCCATACTGGAAGTCCTAAAGAGTTGACGATGTGTGAGGAAGACATTGAGTATCAGCAGTGTGTTGGTCATTAGTGTAACATCTAACTTACATGCTGTTCTTTAGATGCCTCTGCAGTAAATCTGCAGCCTAAAGTCTGTGTGATTCAAAAACGCATGACAGTGATACAAAAAAAGGGAACCAGGTTTGTGCACACATAATAAACACACACAGCAGACAGCCAATTACCTCGCAGGCCTTTATACTTTAGGTAAACAGAGCTGTGTGCACAGTGGCTATTCAGATTGACTCCTGTATATTTGAGTTGTTCTTCCCCTCTTACTTCTGAGCCTGTGTCAGTTTACATGGAGGCTTATCAGACAGGAGAGAGGTGGATGAGTAGGTGGGTTGGTGTAGAGTGTCCTAAGCTGTTGTTGCAGTGGCGAACAAGAACAGGAGCAACAGTTTAAGACATTTAAAACTAAAAAAAGATATGACCACATGCAGCCTTGTGTATCCTGACGCTGTCTGGCTTCTTGTGCTCACTGTAAATTATGTAAAGTCATTGAAAAGAACAGCTTTTACCCACAGCATGGATTGTTATAGGTGTACTCATAGTTTAAGATGATGTGCTTCTCACTTTGAATGTCTCGCATTTTGCACTTTTGTCACCTTTTGTTCCTACAGAGTCCAATTAGAGATAAAGCGTCACATCAAAAAGAAAGAAAAGTCATGACTAATTTGACCAATAAGAGAGAGCTCGGTGGAGCAGGAAGACCCCTTCAGATATCCCAACGGCTAATAAGGTATCCTTAAAACATACTGAACAAATGTTATTCTCAAAGCACAAGTTCAAGCTCTCAGCAGCAACATGTACCCCTGCCTGTGCCCTCCCTGACCCCTGACCCTGGCTGTGATGTTGATATGTCTTATTGAGGAATGTGAGAGGATGTGGCTGCAGCGGTGCTACTTACAGGAGGAGCACAGGTCATCCACTCACAGGAAGGACGGAGCAGGGGGGGAAAAGACTCCTGCCTCTCCACTCAGGTTTCCTTCACCTCCCCAGGTGTCACTCACAGAGGAATAAATCCACAAGACACAGACAGCTCAGCTGCAGTGATGGACAGACGGGGGGGAAACGGAGTGACCAGTGCACGAGTCACTGTGACAGCTCAGCCTTCCACCCTCCCTCTGTCCTCTATGCAGAGCAGAGCCAGCCGCCTTACTGCCGAGATAAGAGGAGAGACTAAACACAAACACAGAGATACAGCAGACAGCTCCGAAACAGCAACTGCTGCACAGTAGTGTTTTATAATCAGCCTGCAGCTCCTCCTCCACCAGTCTCTGACTTCACCCGCCCCCGTTGGTATGGAAACAGCCAATCCGTGCTCTGAATAGAACAGGCCTCCTCCTCTTCTCCTCCTCCTGCCTCTGGTAGTGACAGAGCTGTCACACACCAATAAGAGCTATGAAACCCTGTGATGTTTTGAGTGCATGCAGGGCTGTGGACCACTTTATATAAAGGCCATGTCTGTCAGACACCCTCAGCGTATTAATTATGCATTCATATTTGCTTACATTCACCGTCCTCCATAATCTATACAATGTTTTTATGGCACAGTCACTGCACGCTGCAAAATACTCATGATGACTTTTAAGGTCAAGCATCAAAGGATTAAACAAAACTGACTTTTATGTAATATTATTATTGTTTTAATTTGATGGCGCTTAATCAGCACTGATCGATGTATTGTAATGTGTGGACTGCAGCTATAGTTTGCTTCATAATCCAGTATTACTTTACTGTGTTACAATCTCAGCACCGCAGAGGTCAACCTCTCTCTGTGTGTGTACGTGCGTCTCACAGTCTTTCCTCATATCTGCTAGTTATGTCTGCAGGTGTATTACTTCATATGTCCCTCTATGACTCTGTGAAGCGTGTTACATTTTCATGCATGTTTGAGACCAAATGTGAAAACTTGTGCCCACATGTGCAGTGTTTGTGTTTGTCAGCGTTTCGTCATCCACTTTGTTTTTGTACCTGATGTGAAATGACTGTTCCTGTTCGTCATCCTATCAGCACACATTACAACAGTCTGACAGGAAGAAAACAAAGTGATAGCACAAGCTACAAACTCTGTAGGAAAGTTTCAGTGGTAGACATGGCTTATTGAGCTTGTGTTACTGTAAGCGTAACTCTACTGTGCTGCTGTTGTCTTTGTATCACACCTGACCACCTTTACTTCTCTGAGATAAGACCTTGTTTGATCTTTCTGCTCCTGGCACCTGGGAAACAGCTACAGAGAAACTGGGGATGATAATCTAAGACCTTTATTCCCCATTTTAGGTAATTTAAAGGTCCCATATCATGCAAAATTCACTTTGGAATGGTTTCCTAACAATAATATGCATCCCAGCCTGTCTACAAACTCCCCCAAAATGAGAAAATTCTATCCTCTCCCTCTCTTGCTTGTTCCACCTTTCAGAAAATGTCTGCTTAAACAGGTGGATTGAAACTATAGCCTTCCATGACATCGTGGATGGCGATAACTCCTCCCCTCCAGGTTGGTGACCCTGCCCAAGATGTTTGTTCTGCCCACTGAAAATTTCCACTCAGACACTATTTTTCTTGCTCGCAAATGCTGGCTCAAATGACGAGCTGCATGAACATCGTCACCAGAGATAACTATACTTACAATATTGCACATTCACCAACAGAGCTCCAAGTAACAAGAAGACAGCAGAGACTTAACCGTTAGCGGGAGCTAAAGTTACCTAGCTACATGTAAGTCACTGTGTACCAACACAAACAAAGTGAAAAGAAAAATATGGAGACACATAATATTTGTAAGTAACCATTCAGAAACGTCCTGCTGCAGACACAGAGTTGGAATTCCCTCAGGAGCCCCTCCTTCTGGGTCAGACTCTGGATCATACAAGCCATACTTAGCACTCTGTGTAAACATTAGCGTATGGGACCGTAGCGCAAGCCACGCCCCCCTCTTCCAGAGGGACAGGGAGGGGCGTGGCATGTGCCGAAGGAGGCGTGGACAGGCGCAGCACACAGTTCTCAATAGAGCTCACTAGAGAGAGTTTTCAGGCTGACTGAAGTCCAGGAAAAAAATCTGACTGTTCTGGGACCTCTGAGACCTCTGTGACCCTGCTGAAGGGAATATAACATGGGACCTTTAAAAAAGAACTGATGATATGCACATGACTTATAGAGCAGGGACAGTGACTCAGGGCCCTCTTGTGATCCTTCATTACAAAACCATTAAAGTGAAGCTGCATGAGTCTGTATGACCCAGGTTTGTCGAGCTTTATGCGTGTTATTTGTAAAATTACTGATTATTTTTAATGGGAAAATTCAGCATAACTTGGCAGGACAGTCACTGCAAACTAGCAAACAGTTCAATGACAAAAGTACCTGTAAAACATGAAGGATGGTTTTTGAAAATGACTTCCCCTTGAATAATGTTAAACCAATAGTTCCTCCATTGGGATACCTTATAAAAAATGGTGTTTTATTTGTGTTTCTTACAGATTTAAATGTAAATGAACCCAGGTTTAAGACACTGGTCTCTACTTTTACCTCCATAAAACCATTTTTTGTCACCCCGGGTCACTGTTTTCCAGCTCTTTCCTCTTGATTTGGATGCTTTTCCGCAACCCAAAGTGAGTTTGCAGGATAGTTTATGAGCAAACATAATGGCTATAATAGTTGGATGTCTAAAAAATCCATCTGTGAGCTTTGACAGAATTACACAACTTCACAACATTAGGATTAGAAGTTTTTAAATAGAGCTGCTTTGGTGAAAAAACCCTGGAGGGGGAAGGTCAGATGTGTTTTCCTGGAATGAGAGCAGGGGAGAGTAAATATAGGAAACAATGAAGCTCTGTAATCGAACCACATAAATCAGTTTGCTGCAGAATTAAGAAAAGTCCCTTTGGAGTTCTCTGCCTCAGCTGCACTTTTCATCATCTTTTTTCATCCTATAATCTCCATGGCTGTAAAATTATGGTAATCCAGATTTTATGGTTACCCAGATTTGTTTATGGGATTATAATTGCTGTAAATGCACATATGCTCCTTTCATTGCCTCACATTGTTACATAAGAGTAAAGAAAACAGTTTTGTGGACAACAGCTAAACAAAGTGTTTCATCTTTTTTCTCTGATCAGATTTTGTGTCAATCTGCCTGAAAAAAACAGAGACTTTCAAACTGAAAGGTGAATTCTTCTGTAAACAGACATATTTGAGTTTAAAATGAACATGTTCCAGTAATCACATGAGATGCCTTATTCACTAATGAACTGTTTCACTCAGGACTCTGTTTGTGTAATTTATTAAAGCTGTCAGTCCAAATCTGTCCTCAAGGTCCACACCAGACAAAATTGCTTCATAAATGAAGCTTGCAGAGGGTTTTACTGCATCAGGGTGGCAGTTCATCAGGTAGGTCTGTGAGATGATTAAAGACAACAGAAACCTATATTTCCAAGAACTGATACAACGGCACAGTGCTGATGCTGAATGGTTAGGGTAAAGCTCTGTTGTCCAGCCCCTCCTTATGGTGCGTTTCCACCAAGGGATCAGGTTTTTTGGTTTGGACCAGATTGGTATCTTTTGGTAAGGTTTACATCAATGAGTGCCAATGGGCTGGACTGAAGAGACCGCAATGAGCATTAACTTTTTTCAAGTCATGCAGATCTTGGTCAAAAATACACAAAAATGATAACCTGAGGGTTGTATTCACTCTGTATTAGTCATGTTTATACTACAACCATGATAAATATACAGTGGATATACTACTGGAGTGATTTCAAAGCAAAAGCCTGACTGTTTTTTTCTGTCCTGAAACTGCTAATGTTCTAACAGAGTGCTTGTATTTTGAAGCTCAGCTTGTTATCCGGGCCTGCAATGAAGTTGTCATCAATCACATTGGCTGTAGATCAGCTATATGAGTTATCAATTAACTTCTGGTTACCAGAAATGATTTCATTATGACCATCACTCATTCCTCAGCTGGTGTCTGTGTACAAATCAAGCAGCTGTTTAAGAACACTGACAATAGTATGACATCCAAATCAGCCCTTCAAGTTCAATTTTGGAGTGATTTCAGTGAGATTTCATTGTGACTTACGTGCGATTTAAGTATGATTTTGGTGTATTTTCTGTGTGATTTTGGTTTGATAATCGTGTGATTTCGATGCGATTAAAGTGTGATTTGAGTGTGATTTCAATGTGAATTGGTGTATTTTCAATGTATTTTCAGTGTGATTTCAGTGTAACTTAAGTGTGACTTTAGTTTGACTATAGTGTGGTTTCAGTGTGATTTGAAGTGTCATTTCCATGTGGTTTCAGTGAATTTTTAGTGTGATTTCAGCCTGTATCAGTATGAATTGAGTGTATTTTTGATGATATCGTTGCATTTTCAGTGTGATGTTAGTGTGATTTTAGTGTGATTTTAGTGTGAATCCAAAGTGATTTCAGGGCAATTTCAGAACAATGTTTGGTTGAAATTTGAGCGATTATAGAAGTGATTTTTGGTGTTGTATGAGTTACATGTCACTAGTTATCATACAAGTGTTTCTCCTTGAATGAGAAACAGCAAATTCAATCAGCACGCTTGGTAGCCATTTTTGTGGGGCTGACTCTACCATGAGTTTTAGCATTTGAGACACTGACCCGAGTGCTCAAAATGATTTATGTGTATGCTTTAAGCAGAATTTTTTCCTCCCCTTTATTTTGCCCTTTTTTTTTTTTGCTATATTATTTAGTCATCGGTGACGAAGAATTTCTGCTTGACTGCTTGAAAATTAGGGGTATCTTTGCTTAAGTGCTGACCAGTTAGAATTGGTAATAGCCTCAGTATCAGAGGACACAAAAGACTAATAAACTGTCAGCTCTTGGAATAGCAACTGATGAAAAGTTTTAAAATCACAAGTAAATTTGTACTATTTTTATCTTCAGAATCATTCTTCAGCTTTTGTCGGACAATTTCATGTTAAAGTCTTTTTCATTTTATTCCACATTTGGGTCACATGGTACATACAGACTTCAAACCATACGACCCAAGTTCAGTTTTATTGGTTAAAATAAAAAGCTGTGATTAGTTACAACACACTGAGGGGCAACCAAAAATCAATGATTAGAGGTGATTAAGCAGTGGGGTAAAAGCACAAACAAGTAGAAAAAAAAACAAAAAAACGGAATAAGCAGAAACCTCTGTGTGAAATAGGAGCAGGTGGAACCTGATGGAGGTTCTGGATTGACCTGAGAGACAAGAAGACTGGAAGCAGAGCCAGCAGGAAGGAAAGGGTGAAAGATTCAGAGGC